CTAAAAATGCACAATGCACCACTATAACACTATAATAGTTTGTTTCTAATAGCATTTGAGTGGACTTCTGAGCGAGTCCATGTGACATTGCTTTGAGTGAATTCTCATGAAAAATAATATTATTTCCAGAGTTAAATATATACTGTTTAAGTTTGCTCAGAGATGAGTCTCCTTCTTCTGAGTGAGTCCACGGGACTGCTTTGAGTGAATTCTCTTTATAATTTTGCGTGCAGAATTGAAATAATCAGCTAAGAGCATTGGTTGCTTCTTATTATTATTATACTGAGTTACACATAAGACGACTTTTGTTGTAGTTGCTAATTAAGCTAATTAAACTAGTTAGATATTAATCTGACTCCAAACAGAATATATAATCGGTTGTTACTTGTTCAAGTCGAGATGTCTGTTAATTTGATATAACAGCAAGGATCTAGACAATTGCCTGTATAGATTTTATTTCCTTCGATAAATATATTACAATAAATTGATTATTCACTGATTATTCATGTAAAACAAGCCGTTCAACATATCACATGGGAAATCATTCGCTATTTTGCACGTTATGTTGAAATATCATATTTAGAATGTTCTTGAATATTCTCCAATATTTATGACTCAGGAATTATTTTTAGTCTTGATGTCATTATTGCCAAAATTATTGGTTAATTTGTTACACACAACTGTTCACCATAATATCAAAAATGGGAAAAGGGAAGTCTTTGGAATTCAATCGCAATGCAATTGTTTCTTTTTACATTTTTTTTAAATGAGAGGGTTCCGAATGTCACCACCCTCCGCCCAATGGTAAGCTCTTGGTCAGGGAACTTCTATTGCTGGAAGAAATTCCTTCTTCGAGATGAATTTTGTTGTTTTGGGGTATAAATGATACTGTATTCGGTCCAGTTGCACTAATATTGCTTAGTTATCTGTAGAGGTTATACGAGACTAACTCTCAATCCTTCCCCAATCTCTTTGCGTGAGTGGATGTGCATAATGCAAGGATACTGTAGCAGGAATAAACATGAATTGCATGGTATTGTTCAGTTATTTAGTATTATTGTAGTCTTAATTTATGGACATATTATTGGATCTCCGCTTCTAGGAGACCCTTATTATCAGTCGTTTTGTCTGTCTGTCTGTGTATCTGTCTGTTTAGATGTAGCGTCTTAACAGCTGGACCAATTTGGATGAATTTTTCACGTGGGTTATCCTGCCACCCTAGTATTGTGCGTTTCATAGAAAGTCCGGATAGAGGTTTCGTTTCCACAAAAACAACAAAAAACGCGCTGATCGTTATAAAATTTCTATATTTTTACCATTTATTGTCGTTTTCTCACCAACCAAGTCAAAAATTAAAATTCCAAGAATGCTACCTTCCGCATAGAAAAATACTCTTTTCAATAAGTTATCTTTGGTCTCGATACTCCATAAACTGGAGGAACTTTATGGATTTTAGTGAAGATTATTTTTCAATTTTTAACCACATAATATAATACCAGTCAAGCGAGTAAGACTACGAAACGCGCAGCGTTTAAAAAGGAACTCAGCGGAACTAGTGTCTCCTATTATCCGTTAGTGAACTGAAATGATGCGTGCCTCAAGTAATGACGGGGATCCAACTGGGCGCCTACCGGCTTGTAAACTATTCAAATTGTCCAAAAACAGCGCAATTTGTGCATAACACTAGGTAATGTTCCATTCAAGATGAAACAACAAACAGAAAGAGTTTTTATGCATAGAGAGAAAGGTATTTAAAGAGTTTGAAAGTAGGCTTCAACAAGTTGGGAAATACTGCAATAATCCATCCATTACAATATAATTCTCAACAGCACCCGAGAGATTAATTACATTTTTTTTCTGTGTTGAGCATGCTCATTTACACATGTTAATTATATCATCATATTAAATTTCAGTCATGGGGAGAGCCCATGCATTTTTTATTAGGATAATGAAACCTGTGTTGAATATATAGCAGCAAGAGAGAGTCACTTTATGAAGTCGGAGGGAATTTTATTAATATGCGTTATTGAAAATTTTTTATATGGTTATGGTACAAGTCTTGAGAGTCTGTAAAGCGTTTCAAGCTGGGAAAAATTGCTAAATATGATATAGAAAAATGTGTTTTTTAACATTTTAAATGGAAGGGCTTCCAACGCTCATCCCTCCTGACTAGTATCCTTGCCGTCAACGTCCAACGTCCACTTCTATAAAGGTAGAGTGAAAGGAGAATAGTTAGTTTCATTCTGTAACTTTCAACTGGCGAAAGTTAGACTTCCTCAGACAAGCAGTTCAGAGGATGAAATTGGTAAAAGACTTCAACAAGTCAATATAACCATTTTGATCCTTGCTATAATTCCACGCAGTCAGTACATATGGATCCACTCAACGAAAAAAGAGAGAGAGAAAATTAGGGCATATGCTACTCGAATCAGCTACAGAGATTTTTTCAGTTCAAAATTGATGGATTTTGTTTTATATTTAATTTTGGGGAGAAAAATATAGCAATAAGAGTGTCATTTTATGAAGTCAGAAGGGAATTTTACAGATATGCAGATATTATGGATTTTTTATTGAGCAATTCAAAAGTCTTGCTTTGTACTTTACAAATTTTATTCTGTATCTTTTGTCTGGTGAAAGTCAGGTTTTGTAAGACAAGTTATTCACAGAATGAAATTTGTGAAACATCTTGCAAGTCTTTGAACTCAATGTAGCCGTTTTAATTTTTGCTACAAGATTCTTGCAGTCAGTGTATGAGGCCCACTTATACAAAGGCAGAGCGAAAGAACATTAGTTAGCCATATGTTCTGAAAGTGCTCCATAGGGAGCCCCAGATTCCTATTGTAATATTTAATTTTATATAGATTTAAGTGCTACTCAATAAGTATGTGCACCAAGATGGCGGACACCAGAACATTGTATGTGTACCAGGTTAGGGTTGGTCCATAATTTTAGGTACAAATACTATGGGAGTCACTTGGCTAGTCACCGAACTCGTAATAGAACCAAAATGAGGAAAATTGAAATAAAATTATTGCCTAACCCAAACCTGGTATACATACGACGTTTCGGTGTCCGCCATCTTGGTGCACATACTTCTGAGTGCTGATTTTAGTGGTTGTTTCGTTGCTATATTTGCTGCTTCAATTCAGCTGCAAGGTGTCGTTGACTGGATGACTTGTTGAGTTTTTCGCGAACGTTCATAGCTGCAACAACCCAATATTCGTTTATGTAATATGTTCCATTATTTAATAGCTATTTCATTTTGTTTACTGGTTTGCACGATGAAAATAAATATCTGAATCTTTCCATAATATCGCACTAAGATGATTCTTTTCTACTTATGAATGATTGTGCAAGGCTTTGCGCAATGTGAGGTAGATCTCACGATAAGTGTGGTTTACCTCGAATTATACTAGAGATAGTGCTTTGTCATTCTAGTTTTGATAGTTTTATTTCTTGAGGCAATTTGTTGAAAAATTCAATCCAGTGCAAGTTAGTTTTTGCTGCTCATACCAGTTTAAACCTAAAATGTTTGTTATGTTCTGAAAAGGGAGTTTTTTTATTTATTGATAATGAATTTTAATGCAAAGTTAGTTTATTTTTGACTGTCCTCAGTATAGAATCCGTATGTTCCGTATGTTCAGAATGCATGAAATGTGTCAAGAATTGTAATGCAGGGTAAAAGTAGATGGGACTAATAAAAATTAAGTTGAGAATTGTTAATAATTTAGGGTGGAGGTAGATGACACAAACAGTAAAACTCCTGATACATTGATAAAGAGAAAAATAACTTTTTACAATGTTTTACTTTTTACTTACGGTATATGGATTGTTCATATAGCTCAATTAAACAGAGAGAACAGAAAATAAATGTATTTTACCATTACGAAAATGCGATCTGTATGTTCAGAATGTATAGATTGTTGAGAAAAGCGATTTGAGGTGGGTGGGGGGAATAAACAAAAGCAGTGCATTGGAGCCCTAATGAAGACTATTAATAATAATTAATATATTGATAGAAAATGTTTAAATGTTTATATCAGGTAAATGTGAAATTAAAGTTGTTGTCTATTGTGGAGTATTGATAAGCAGAAAAAAGATATATGATTGCAAGCCAATTATCTGGGATGGGGAAGACATAGCTTCAACAGCGTGAAAACAGTATGTTTGTGTCAAGAAAGGCATTTTACGTTGGAACGAGATGCAAGAAATACTGTGTTTGATCCTCTTGACTAAGCTTAATATACTAGTTGAAATATATTGAAAAAAAATTGAACATTATATTTATATGCCATATTAGGAAAAGAAGTTCGCATATTTTTAAATTACCGTAATGAGTAGATTAAGGCAGGTATAGAAGAATAAAGTGACATAAATATACTCTCGACAGAGTTGATGAGACAGCTTGATCAAATGTTAAACTAGCGGACGCCTTGAGTGGATACAGAGAAATAAAATTTTTTGCGAGACTGTGAAATTAGAGCTTAGCATGTTTTCATTATAATTTCATTGCTGAAACCATTATTTTGATTCAAGCAAAAAAAAATCTAATTATTTGTGGAGATTCTAAAATTCGCATTGCTGTTTTATAATAATATACCTTTTTGAAATATGTATCGTGCTCCACATATTCAAAAATACAAATTAGGAATGTATTTGGATTCGTGAATTATTTGAGATTTACATATTTATCCTGGGGGAGAGGAATGCCGAAAGATGATTTAATCATATGGCAAGCCACGGCCTCTTGTCCAGTTACCAGTCCTATGTCTGGTATTGGATTAGTTGGGGAGTGGAGGAAGTCGTAACCAACAGTTACGTGGACCACCCTACAGTGGCGAGAAGTCCATCAATCCTTTCACGCATTGCTATCCCTTACGTGATTGGAACCTGCGAACCCACGCGATGTAATCAAAGGTGCAGTGGCGAGCATATTCATACGGCTTAGCACGATGCGCCACACCGCTTAGCCGAGTTAACATGTTTTTTTTATTCCACAGATAATGTTCCTGAATTGGTAAGCTTCCGTAATGCAGGAGTTGGATATATGCCGAAGGGAGAAATAAAATGGGATTTAAATCAACATCAAGACAAATTTACTGCAGGTAAAAAAAATTGTTAGCTTTGTTTTATTGTAAGAGAATGTTATACATATGTGTGTGTGTGTGTGGCTTTACAATTCAAAAGTTGTGGGTAAAATGAAATTGTTTGAAACCGGAACTATATTAATCTTCCGGAAGCCAGGTGATAGTGTTGTACAGAAGCAAAAGAACATGTTAGGTATAATTTTGGTATGATTTTGCCAAAAGCACAATGAGTAATGTAATAATAGGAGAGTAATAATAGAAAACAAAGTAAACAAGTTAATTTGGAGTTTCTTGCAATTAAAAACTGCCAGAACTTGTATTACAATGGACATGATCGAGTCATATTATTCCAAAAATTAAGAGTTTAAATGATCTATCAAAATTGGTTTCTAGAATAATTGATTTGTTCTCCATTACAAAGTTATTTTCTTTTTCCAGATAAAAACTTGGTTGTGTTCAAATATTATCACCCGACATCGACCGGTGGATTATCGTTGGTCGCTTCTACGGATCAAATCATTGTTTGTAAAAAGGCGAGAACGGTAAGATTGTGAATTCGTCTCATTTTTTGTGTTAGTTGATTGATGCATATTGCAAAGATACTTTATGCATTAAGAAGTATGCACGCTGAGACTCGGAATCCCCTACTTTTAAAACGTAAAAAAGGCGTTTTTTTTTGTAGCATACATAGCAATTTTTTGCAGTCTGAAACGCTTTTTAGAACCTCACGTCTCTTAAAAACCCACGTTCAAGCTGGGATCGCTAGCTCGCTAGCTGTTATCGTCTAACTTGGCAATAGAAATTACTTCCATTTGACAAATCCTGCCTCGTCCCTGTCTCTGAGATGAGAGAGAGAGAGTATGAAAAGTTTATTTTTTTTCTTTTCCAGCCTCCCTCCTCCACGTCTGAAGAAAGTGGAAGCATGCGAGTCACTGCAGTCAATGCACCATTGAGACGAGCACATTCCAACGCTGAACTTCTCACTTTAGTTTTATCTGGTAAGCGTTTTCTGAGATGTTTTTACTCTGAATGAGTCTCCTTTTGTTTCTAGATAAAGGGATTCATTGAGAACAAATTATATCCATTTTCTAATAATTCCCTATTAACTGAACCGAGTTTCCTTTATTAAAAAAAGAAAGGCAGCGATTCCCAAACTTTTTGTTCATGCCGTGCCTAATTATCAGGCAAAAAACCCATAGGGCACTGACACAAAAAATGTTTTTGCTCTGAATGAGGCTACTTATGCTTCTAGGGCACATTGAACACGCAAATTATTTCAATTTTCTAATGAAAACAAGGAGGCAAATAGATGTTTTGGAGCTGGAGCCACTTAAATTTCTGTTAACTCCGTCTCCAGGTTCACCAATATGTCCTGGCTCCATGCACCAACTCCAGGTTTTGAAAAAGTGGGGCCTTTTCAGTTAGGCATTGCATAGGCCTACCCAATTCATTACGTGGACATGGTGGCCAAACTTGAGATTTCTAACTCATGATGTAATAGAGAAAATACAGTAATAATTGGATAATCAGTCCAGAATACTTAATGTGGCAATGTTGTTTCCCAGAGTTCTTTAATAATCTCAGCATGACTTTGATCTAAAAAAATGTGAAGTTTTGGGGGCAGATAAAAATAATGAACAATTTGGTAAATTGACGTAAAAGGATGACAAAGCATTACAAGACAGGAACATAGACATGTAGTGTCACGATTGAATGACTTCGTTGATGACATAATATTGCTGGGTTTATTAGGAACTATAATATGCCCCTGATACAAGAAGTCCAAAGTTGGGATTTTCTGGTAAGGTAGATAAAATGAAAATGATCCATATAAATAGGATCAAGGCAGAGTGTCTAAGGTGTGAATGCCATTCAAGTACCAGTGCCATGGTTGGATAACTTTGTTTGTTACATAACACTAGCCATTTTAAGCTGAGATTTTGTGTTTTCTGCAAGAATTTACAAATATAGCAGATTTATTTCTCTTTTTCAACATAATGTAGAATAATGGGTTGAATGGTTATATTTTTAGTTTCGAAGATTTGCCGTTATTAATATATGATTTTAATTTATTGATTCCCAAAATTTTTGGTCATCATTGGACATTCATGAGCAAATATTTTTCAAGTTGAATGAATTCTCACTGATGCAAATAATGAAATTTTCACTTTTAAAAGCAAAATAGCAAGATTTCTGTAACAGATATGGCAGTTTGGAAAAGGCTATTTTTATGTCACAAACAAAGTCATTTAACTATAACATCGGACATCTGGCAAGTGTCCTACCTTTGTGATTTTTTTACCCATGTCATTGAGGGTCTATAAAGTCTTATTATAATTCACAAAATTGACCTTTGTCTCTGAAGATATACCTCTGATAACAAGGGTATAGTAAAATGTTCACTGGCATGATTTTTTAAAATTGAGTTTTATGAGCATCGTGCATTTCCAAGATTTATTTTCAAATTTATTCATCTTTTTTTTTTTTGCCAAATAGAATTCCAGTGCCAATATGGAATTCAATTATTTATATAATTTTTGTCCAGATGAAAGTGAATTAATATTATTTATGTGTATTTCCAATTTTGGTTACAGTAATTGATATCGGAATACAATCGCATGGTTTGAATTCCGTTTAAATGAAGAAAAGTCATTTTACAATTTAAATATACAATACCAATACATTTACATTCACATATTCATATCAGCAATTCATTGTTTGTAGTTCCAATTGATTTAGTTGATTGTTGTCCCAATTGTCATCATAGTGAATATAATTAAATTTATTTTATATTACCATGGAAAAGCAAAATTTATAAATATTAGACAGCAAATTTGAACACCTATCATGCTAATAGGATTTTCCTATTTCCTGTCCAAGAAAATGTTATTATTCAACACTAATTTATTCATCACTCAGGAAAATTTTAACATTTCATAAGTACTTGAAATCTTGAGCACAAATTCTAACCTATGTAACATACAAAGTCATTGAACCGTGACATTACAGGTTGGCATTCGCATCTTGTGATGCCTTGTCATGCCTTGTCATGCTTTTACGTCATGTAACCCAAACTGATGATTATTTTTGTCATCCCTAAAATTCCAGATTTATTTTTAGCTCTGGTTACTAAGGACTCTTGGTCACGTGAAACATTCCTTTTTTTTTCTGGGTCTGTCGCACGTTAGCACATTCTTGCCCTTCAAATAACCAGGTTTACTTATGGTTAAATGTGCAGTGTTAGGTTTTTTTTTGGTCATGTGTACATCACCCCTCACTAATTTTAATATTAGTCCTATGAAATTTCAGATTTATTTTTAGCTCCGGTTACTAAAGTTACTTATTCACATAAAAAGTTTCCCTTTTTTCTGGGTCCGTCGCACGTTAGTCCATTCTTGGCCTTCATATAACCAGGTTAACTTTTGACTAAACGTGCATGCCATTTTTGGTCATGTGTACTTCAGCTTTTACTAATTTTACTATTGGTCCTTTAAAATTCCAGATTCATTTTTAGCCCTGGTTACTAAAAATACTTCGTCATGCGGAACAATTTGCTTTTTTATCCCTCGTCAATCCATTCTTGGCCTTAAACAATCAGATTTGTTTTTTATCTCAAGATTACTAAGGACTTGTATTACTCACATGAAGTGTTTTGAATTCTGAGTCTGCTAACGTTAGTCTATTCTTGGTCGTATGAAAAGTTAGATTAATTTTTAGGTTAGGCTTACAATACACAGGCTGAGGTCATAATATGATGCATTTTGAAGCCAAATTTACATTACACCTTGCTAATGTTGGTTTTATAACATTTGAGGATCTATTTTTAGCTCGGGTTTCTAAGGACTTTTGGTCATATAAATCTTTTTTTTTTTTTTGGGTACATGTGTTTTTAACTCAAGATAACTGATGACCGGGCATCTCGAATGTGAATAACTGTTTGCCAACAAACATATTTATTTGATGATTATTTGCCAATTCTGATAATTACAATCATAGATGTCCGACTTCCATAAAATGTTTTAATTCATTCAACATTTTTTAGATCGAATATTTTCCTCAATTTTAGGAAAAAGCTAGAAAAGTTGGATTTTGAAAATTATAATTTTGAGCAATTCAAATCATGCAGTATGACCGAATAAGACCATAATTTAATTTCTTTGTTATCTAAACTTTCTCATTTCTAACCCAAGGAAAATATATATTTTTTGTTTAATACAATCCAATTTAGAATTTCCCTGATATTCCATATTCAAAAATAATATTTCAGAATGCATCCGTAATAGTAATTAGTTAGCAATCCCATGTTGGCCAACTCTGAGACAAACATTACTATATTTACTTTATAAGTCACCGAAATGACTGTTTGACAGCAAACAAACTTAAATGGTGATTATTTACCAATTCTGATAATAACAGCATTTATGTTTTCTGGTTTATAAATTGGGTCTCAAATAATCTCAATTTGACATTTTCTATTAAACCTGTTGAGAAGAATTCCTATATAATGACTTAAATATATTGTTAACAGTGGCGAAGTTTAGGTATGAGAATATCTAATTTTTCACTCATTCTATTATCAGGGGCAAAGGTCATTTGTAGGTATAGCTGAACACTTACGTTCTCAATCATTATGCAGGGTAACTAACTAGTAGTAGTGTGAACTATCCTGTGATGACGAGAAGTTACGCCATTCCTCTTTACACTTATGATTGCCACCAGATTTTAACACATGTGGGGTGATTAGTGCAATTATCTCAAGTGCGACAATCATCAAGTTATATGTTCCTTGAAATGTTAATTTTAAAACAGAAATGTATACTTCAATACCACTGGACATGCATAGAAATCACAACTGGAGTTATCACCACATTTTATTTATTTTTTTTTGTAAATATGGCAGAGCTTTTCAAATTCGCTATAATATTAAACTTCAATTTTCTCTACACCATATTATTCCCGTCCTCATGACTTCTTTACCGAACCATGACGGACAATCCCCAACAAACTATGTTATTTTGATCCATGGGCTTAGAATTTTAGGGGTTTAGTTTTTTAATGCCATACACCCAGCAGCAGTAGAAGTGTTTATATTGTAGGGTTATTAGGATTGAAATTTTTGCAGTCTAAACTCGATCTATTCTTGTGATAAACCTACCACAGATATAATAAGCTCGTACACTAGGCTTTTATTACCTCAATTGTCAACTAAGAGCCGTAAAGCAGCATGAACCATAGACTGACTTTAGAATCAAAACACTGCATGCTATTAAAGGACGAACAGTATATGGCAGCAGGGTCAAATGTCGTGACTGTTTAATGTGTTGCTAGGTTTTAAGACTCAAATCACCACAATTATTATGTTAATTTTAGGGCTGTTCAAGACAAATTGAATATCCTGAACAATTTAAAATTTTAATTCCTCATTTTAGAATAATTTAGAATAGATTCAAAAATCAAACCCCAAGACCACCACACAGGGTGTAATAGATTCGGCAGGCAATGCTGAACCCGATATATCCCAGGCCATTTAAACATATTAAATTAATTAACCATTCAAATAATACAGAAAGACGTTTTAGATTCTCGTAGTTGAAATGAATGTTTTACGCGACAAAAAAATCATTATACGCTGAAAAAGTTGGCTCTTTTAACGAGCGCGTAATCGCAGCGACTGTTTCAAAAAGACATGTGAATTTTCGACTTTGAAATCCCTTCCTTTAAAGATCCTTGCTGCTCGTCTTCTACCACCTCACCCTCAGGGTGTAATACAGGGGTTCTCAACCCCCAGGGGTTCACGAAAAGAATTTCAGGGGTACTTGAATGACAGTCGAGTTTTCGTTGCTTTTTTTAATATCCTTTAACAAAGAAATCAACTACAAGAGGAAAATAAGTGCATATTGAAACTCAGCGTACATTTTTTCATGATCTTGCGTTGTAGCAAATTGTTAGTCAATGTATCACAATTCAGTTTGGTGGCTGATTACTGGGGGTTCTTGTTGATTGTTTCGTGACTCTGGGGGTTCGCGTTGATTGTTCCGTGACTCGGGGGGTACTTAACAGAGAAAAGGTTGAGAACCCCTGGTGTAATAAATTGGGGAAACAATACTGAAGCCAGGCCCTGGGAGATATTTTTCCTCCAGAAATAGTTACTTCTTACCTAGCAGTGGCTGCTTGCACAGAGGCTTGGTTTGAGTGAAAAAAGGGGGCTCCCGAAGTATGCAAACTAAGATGGCGGACATCGGAATGTAATATGTGTACTAGGTTAGGGTTAGGCCATAATTTTAGCTATAAATACTACGGGAGGCTCTTGGCTAGTCTTCGAACGGATAATAGGACTAAAATAAGGAAAATTGGAAAAAAAATATCGCCTAACCCCAACCTGTTACCCATGTTACGTTCCGATGTGCGCCATCTTGGTTCGCATACTTTGGGAGCACCGAAAAAAGTATGCGACAGCGTTTAAAAAATGTAGTTACATTTGTAAATCATTTTAGTTCGGCCATTTCTGTGCCAACTCTGCTGTATATTTCATATATAGACAGGCTTTTATTATTGATCCTTTGAATACAAAATATCTTGAAGATAAAAATATACCGATAAATAATAATATATCATTAAATCTTTTCCAGGTCTTTGTGGTTACAATTTAAAACGAGGCGTATTCTTCAATCCATACCCATACGTCAAAATTGCAGTGTTCCCCGGACCTCGCTGTAGCAAACAACCTCATCATAAGCAAATGTACAGAACAAAACAAGCAGGGAACACTATTAATCCTGTGTGGAAAGAGCAAGTAAGTAATTCCACAAGTTCAACAAAATTCTCAATGGCCTCTGAACTTGCCGGGTTTCAAACACGAATTGGGATAAAATTTCGTAAAGAAAGGAAAGCCAATAGGACAGCTTAATCATATGGCGAACCACGGCCTCTCGTCCAGTTACCAGTCCATGTCATCTATTTGCTTAAGATGGATGGATGCAGATATATGAATTGATAGCATATTAGGATAGGATTTTCATATTTGACCCAATGAAAAAAACTTCTAATCGACGTCTGAAAGCAGTCATTCATCTGGTTATTTGTTCAAGTCAAGTAGGGAATAGTTATATGGATAATCTCTCCAAATGCATGACTTATCTCTTGCAGCATTTGTATCTGTAAATCCATGCTAGGTGGCATGGAGCTAAGTGCAGTGGTCGGCAGAGTTTTCTTAAGTTAGGCACAATTTGTAAAAATGAAAAAGGTTTCAAGGCCCGAAAATTTGGAAATTTCAAATTAACCATGTAATAAACTTGTTATAGAACATTTAATTTGTTCAGTTGAAATAAACGTAATGTATGATTGTCTGATATATGAACAGAAACCATTTAGCCATAAATTTATATGTTATGTTGGATCCCTGTAGTTTGGCAATACAGCTGTGGCTCAAATTGAAACTTTGTCTTCAAAAACTGGTCAAACCAAGTGACTTAACTTCCAATTCCACATTAAAATGCCCAATATATCGTTAAGGCTTTGGTTATTGTTTAACGGTTTTCTTCAATTCACAGTTCATTGTCCAAGTGCTTCCAACTGATTTAGTTGAACTTGAAGTTAAAGACAGATTTGATCGCAGTCGACCGATCTTACGAAGGTTCCTCGGACGGCTTCTAGTCCCGGTCGCAAAGTTACAGGACGTTATTAACCAAGGGTAAGTCAGGGAATTAAAAGAGATAGTTATAAAAACCTTTCAACATATCTGGGAGGATAGGAAAGCTGATAAGACTGCTCAAACATAATATAGTGAACTACGATATCGGAACCATTCAAATTTTTGTGCTAGAAATGTGTCGTTGCCACTTTTGGATACCATAGAATTTTTTTTTACTCTCCAAACTCATAAATGTCAAACAGCATTTTGGCTTTATTTTTGAAATAATTTTTCTTAATTTTAGAGAGGAGCGATACACAGAAGCTCTTGCAAAACGGACACCACTCGATCAAACATCTGGAAGTCTTTCATTTCTTGTAACAACTACACAAAGTAAGTCTTGTTTCAGGTTTTTGTAGAGCTTTTCACTGGATAATTTGCAAGACAAGTATTCTCTTTAGCTATATCAACAAACGGGTATCTCATAACCAGTGACTTCCATACACTCCCCCCCCCCCTCCTAAAATTTTAAACACTCCCCCTAATTTTTAGATTTGACATCATACTTTAATTCTTAACGTAAATGAAATTTTATTTGAATATTTGAAGAATGGCTTATATGTCGTTGAAGATGAACAGACAAACACGTAACACATTTTATAAGTTACAACTAGTTTTATCACTAATAACAATATCTACCAACGCCTAAATTTGGAAACACCCTCCCTAAAATAAAAAGCTTGGGCACATACTGAGTCTCACACTTGTCCTACTTGCTCAATTTGTCCCAATTATATGAATTCCATTTATTGGCTTGCTCTAAAAGTGGGAAGCAACATTTTTGAGATGCCGTTTACTAACCTTCTTCGAAGTAAAAGGACGAGATGTGAATTTATTATATACAGGGTGTCCATAAAGTCATAACATTCTTTTAAATTGCAAATGGAATTTATCGATACCATATATTGTTTTGGCCCTCACAGATGTATTAAATAAAGTGAAAATACTTTAACAATTACTGATTAAAAAACAACAAACCTGGTTAAGATATAATGAAACTGAAATTGTAAATGGACATTATAGCAACCCTATATATCCAGGCAAGATGGAAGATGATAAAATAGAATTCGAGGGTGTTATTTTTAGTGAAAGATCATGTCAACACAGAATCAGAAAATTAATTTAAATAATTCGTGTTTTATGTCAAATTTGCTATATGATGTATCATTTCATGTTAGATTGGAATAGCGCAGAGGTGGGCATATTACGGCCCCCGGGCCCGTTTCTGGCCCACTGAATTGTTCATGCGGCCCACTTATATGTGCTGAAATTACGACCATAGTTTTTATGGATATAAATTTGAGTTGCAAAAAAACGTGCTTCTTATTATTATAAAAACGTTAGCCTGGCTGTTGTAAATAAACTGTTTTTATCATAATTTTTCATATCGAGTTTTGTGCCCAGTAATCGATTATATTATCTATAACTGTCCCACTGATAAAAGTAATTGCCCACCCCTGAAATAGCGTGTTCAGAACATTTCCAGTTCGGTATTTTCTACCCAATCCATTACATTCTGGAAAAGCATAGGATTTGTTAGTCCATCATGGCCAGTAATGTTATAATTCAATCTTTTCAGGGCACCCAACGTTCAGATCTGTCGGCCCTAGTGGAGCTCTGATATCACGGAATTCATCACAAATATCTGCAATTTTAACCCCGTTACGAAATCAGATTTCTAATGATGAAGAGAATTATAGCTCTGATGCGTCTGCTGATCTGACAGGTTGGTAACTTGTTAATAATGATATTTATATGTGGGAATATTCCTGAAGTTATATAATTTTTATCTTCTTAGCCTTGCTTTTTTGTTAGATATTTTAAGGCTTTTTTGTTACATATTTCATTGCTTCCATGAGAAATTGGAAGGCAAGTGCGTACTCAATCAGAGATAAATTAGACTCACCTCTGAGCAAAACTACAGTCTATATTCCATTGTTGCCACCTTGGCAAATTTCAAAAGTAAAATTTGTTGAAATTTGCCTTCACTTGATTTTTCTCGTCAAGAAAATCTGTTGCACTGGGCTTGGCAGTAACTCTATTATTCAACAGAGTACGTTGTGATCCTAACATCGGCCGCATTTAGTTCTGTATTGAAATCCTGTTCATGTTCATGTAGTAAAGAGAAGTATGAATTTCTCGTTTGCAAAACTACATCCACTGATAACGATATGTAAGGTGCTACTTTTATTTGGAAGCACTGAAATCGGGGCTCCCGAAGTATGCGAACCAAGATGGCGGACATCGGAATGTAATATGTGTACTAGGTTAGGGTTAAGCCATAATTTTAGGTATAAATACTACGGGAGGCTCTTGGCTAGTCTTCGAACTGATAATAGGACTAAAATAAGGAAAATTGGAAAAAAATTATCGCCTAACCCTAACCTGTTACCCATGTTACGTTCCGATTTCCTCCATCTTGGTTCGCATACTTCGGGAGCACCCTGAAATCTTTCTGGTTCAGCATTGCCTACCAAATTTATTACACCCTGGGTAAGGGGAACATGAATTTTAACCCAAGATGTGTAATCTGTTTACCTCTAGTGGGTAAATTCACCCTCGTTAAGAACCCCTGCCTTATTTAGCATCCGTGCATTGACTTTAACTGAAAATATTCTTCTATCAGATACTGTTGGTCCTTCAGAATATATTGGTTCTTTAACACCTGATGCAGCTTCAACTCCACTGTTGCCTAATGGATCGGCTGTGATCGAAACTTCAACACTTTCAGAAGAGATTATTCCAGGTAGGAAGAGTTTTTAATGAGAAAAGTGTGTGTTAATTCAGTTTAGGAGTTTATTTATTAAATTTTTAAAACAATAACCAAAGTAACCCATAAGAGTGAGATAATAATTTATTTCCGAATATATCAAAGATGTACAGATGTAATGCGATACAAAAAAACAATCATAAAAGAGCAAGGGCAAGACTACAAGGTCAACTATATCGACCGACCTCTAAGCAACACCAACTGTACTGTGCACCAGACCGCAGAGGGCTTGTGGTCACCTCCACAGCTGGTTGGTCATGATCAGTCACCTGTAACTGATGACATCACAGGTTATGCTCAGCCATCTGGGAAAATACTAGTTGCCAGAAATACAATACAGATTCCCATGCGCACGGCCAGTGTGTAATAAATGGGGTAGGCAATACAGACAGTGAGACAGAACTGAAAAGACCTCGGTCCTTGATGATGGTTGCTTGTAGAGTGCCTTTTTTGTATTAAACATGTATCAGAAAGCTGACTCTGATGACCGTATGGTCGTATTGCTCCCCCAGTCATACCAAAAAACCTTGCGTATGTTGTTGTATATATTTTTTATTGTTGCAATGCTCCTTTTTTGTGGTTGATGAAAAATAAATCTCTCTCTCTCATATTAAGAAAAAAATAACTGTTTACCTCTGTGTAAGAAAGTGTATAATTCAAATCCTGACGTGCTTTTTATTTGCAGTCAAATCCTCCATTTCACAACCGAAAAATATAAACGACTCACAACCTGCCAGCTCTCCAAATTCTGAGGAACAAATCACCAATGTACAGCAACAAAAACATTCTGGAGAGACGTCAGAAGAGTCGACTCCCCAAAGAGAGGCTTCTTCTCCGGTTAGCCCGAGTGTTTTGAGTCGTTCACCTATGCGACAAAGCAGACTTGATGCTGTAAGCTTTTTTCCATCGGAGGGCGCCGTTGAACCATCTTCGAACATTGAAGAAATTGCGAACGAGCCTGGGATTTTACAAACGCTTGTCAGCGGACAAGATAGTGAACTTATTACACAAGACAACAGCGCTACTAGTGGTGAATCAGTTCAGCGCAATCGCATACCTTCTTTGAAAATTATGTCGATAGCCGCAGTAGGGAAAGCGGCAGAAGAAAAAGACTTCGAGCGCGATAAAACCATTTTGGAAATCGAGGGTGCGGAAGCGAGCTCTACCAGACGTCGAATTCCCTCCCTGGCACGTCTTACATCTTTAGAACTTTCCAAATATGGCGCCGTAGGAGGGGCGGATGCCATCGAGTCACCAGACGCCACGAAACCTGTCCCAATGCCACGGTCTACTATTTTACCTAAACAGCCTATAAAAGTGAACACTGCCATTGATGCACCTGACGGTGCCACGAATTTACCTAGTGGAGCCACAAGTTCATCAACTGATGCCATGAATTCCACTATTGTTTCCAGCAATTTGCAAGACAGTGCCACAGGTTTATCAGCTAGTGCATCTTCAATTTCTATTGAAGGTGCCATGACCTCATTGGATGGTGCCACAAATGCGGAAGATGTCAATGGTCCAGTAAATGAAGTGGTAGGTAGATATAATAGTTTTTTTTGTTGTAGAAAGCCCACTACTAATGCAATAATGTGGTATTTGAGAAAACACTCACGCAATGTTTCAGTAATTGTGTGATCGCCACATTTTATTGGTGGCAGGGATGCCTTGGCATTTCTGCAAAAGATGCATTTTCGTAACATCCTAGGTAAAATAGTGTATTAGTAATAGAAGTAATAGTAATGGACGGAATTAGAAAATTTCCAGGTTCCAGCTATTTTTAGGTTTAAGCTGTTGATGGGCGCCAGATGCTTTCAGTCACTTCTTTGCTCCTGTTTTTTTTGGCCTTAGCTGCTGCCTTGGTTTCTATGTATAAAATAAGTACCGCAATATGAGAAATACCATCAAAGAGCTAAACTAGAATATCGGTCAGAGACCGAAGACTTATCGATCGAAAGTTAGGGGATCCCCAAATAATTCATCCAAAATCAATAGGCTTCTGGTCCGACATATGATGAATGTACATGCAAAATCTGGAGCAGATTCAATCTCGCTTCCGTGAGATATCGCGTGCATCTAACAGACAGACAGACAAACAGACAAATACCTATGAACATACTTAACGATTAAAATTGATAAGTAACAAATTTGAGTTCCAATTACTTTAATGAATTGGTGCAGTCATCGTGAATTGTACCTTGTGAAGGTTTTCACTGGTGATACTCATATAACTGATAAGGATAACCCTGCTTTGATGACTCGTCTACATCTTGAGCTAATTTTCAAATCTTCATTTCTCTAGTTGAGCGTCATCATTCAACGAAGCAACGATACAACTAACCTTGGTCTAAGCATTGTTGGAGGATCGAAGAATAATGCAAAGATAATGCCAAGGGTAAGAAAGATATCTTTTAATTGTGCGTCTCTGTGCTCATGGCTGTGGAGTTCAGGAGAACCAAGATGTGCAACATAAATGAAATTTTTCTACAAAAAATGACAAATTTAAAATAAAAAACCCATTTGGATTCCTAGAATGGGGTTCAACTAACCTTAATTATAGATCATTAAGTAAATGTTTGGCGTTCCAGAAGTAAATGTACCAATATGGAGGTAACTAATTTTGTTCGCCTACTTTACATCAAGTTATATAAAGGGACGGAAGCCTATGAACAAGGTATATTCACTTGGCTAACACAGACAGTCATCACTTCTAGGCTGCCTTTACAGTCCTGCATTATGTTCTAACACACTTTTACTATTTCACAGCATATCAGAGTTACAAAGGTAGAAGCCGGAAGCCCAGCATTCCTAGCAGGAGTCCAGATCGGAGATCGAATATTAGCTGTGAATGAAACCAATATGGTGAACGTTGATCACACAACTGCTGTGTCAGCGATTCGTAACAGCGGTCTCGAAGTTAGAATGCAAATCGAGAGGCCGCTATCAGCTGTGACCAAAAGAAGGTACTCAACTAAGGTGGGTGTTCATTTCTCTGTGTGGGCGTAAGTCAAGTCAAGTTTATTTTTTCCAACCAGTAAAAAATATCACTCAAGCATAAATTATGAGAAAATGATAAATTGAGTAGCTGCACCCAGGGTTCCAATATCCAGTTATATCTAGTTATTTTTTAATCTGTTTTGAGCAAAGAAACGGACCGCTGATTGCTGTAACTAAAAGAAATTATTGAACTGAGGTGTAAGCTGGATTATTTTTTACTATAGATTGTTTTTTTTAAATGAATCATGGGGAAATATGGTTATTGCTCAGTATTAAAAAAGGATTCATTATTTCTAAAATTAAGCTTAAGCTATATTGTATATTTTTTATTAAAAGTTGTATAAGCAACTACAGAAACATAAAGAGTCACTAATTTTTGACGAGCTATGATTCAAGAATCTTCCAATTTCTTAATTGCCTACCCAATTTATTACACGTGTTTGGTTGTTGGCATGACATTTGAATCTAAGTTCTTTATCCTCCGACGCTACTTAGTCATGTTCAACATGCTAACCAGTAGACCAGTGGTTCCCAACCCTTTTGATGCTTGTGTCCCTCTTTTGGAGGCTTTTAGCATTCATGGCCCTTCTGTTTGTCGTTACAGTGTATTTATAGGGTTCTTTTTATTGGTGAGTTCCTAATCCCATTAGGTCAGGTTTATGCTCAACAAATTGAAAAAAACTAAAATATACCTTGTCAAGCAATGAAACTAGGAAGAAACTAGGAAGTGTAAAGTGACTAGTAAATTCAGTTTTGCACCTAGCATCATGGCCCCCGGTTGGGAATCGCTGCATTAGGCCATCTTGCCTACTTTTCGAAGATTCAATTTGGTTTTTACATCCCTAGCACCTAACTCTCAACTTCTTTTTACATAATCCAGAGGCCAACAGAAGGATTGAATATATCTACTCAACAAACTAATTTGGTAACAGTAAAACGTCGTGCATCCTCTCCTCTAACTATGGTTGGAAGCAGTGCTATTGCTCGCAAGTTTTCAGGTATGATGGCTGTTTCAAATTCTGTATTTTTAAATGTTACAAGTCTTACTTCAATTGACATTTACTGGCATGTAGTTCTAAACATTTTGGTAGCTTTTGGAATTTTAGTTGTCATGAGTTTCTCTCCCCCGGGATAAATATGTAAATCCTATCCTATCCTATTCACCTCTGAGGGACTTTGAGCAAATGCTCTTGAATGAAATTATCAATGCCTTTGCATAACTTTGCTCTGAACTAGAATCCCAGTTTGTTCCGGTGGTCCCTAGGTTTTGAAAGCCATAATTTTACTGTTCAAATGGCTTTTATCCACATCTTCAAATTAGAAGTTCAATCAATATCTACCGTCTATTTCAACAAACTTCAAAATAGAGATTTTTTAAAGATTCTGATTTTTCTGAAAAAAATATAGGGTGTTTGTCCATAAAGTCTTAAAATCATTTTAAGAATTTATCGATACCATATGTTGTTTTGGCCTTCGCAGATGTATTAAATGAAGTATAAATACTTTAACAATTACTGATTAAAAAACAACAAACCTGGTTAAGATATATTGAGAACTGACTTTATAATTGAAATTGTAAAGGGACTATTTGGAACCCGTTTATAAATTCTACCTGATGATATTCGGTATGTATCATTATATCAACCCGACATAAATTTATCTAAAATGAATATAATCCTTCATTATTTATTCATTTTGCCAAACTATTTAGATCTTTATTCTGACTCCTAATTAATATTTTTTCTTTCAAAACGTAGGACAATCCAATCGCATCTCTCTACCAGCTGGTCAAATCTTGGCTTCCACATCAGAAGGAGTGAAACTGCCAAACGTATCTTCAGCCTTTGATGCAAGATTTAGGGCATCAAGACATAGAATTATGAGCAGGTAACGAATTTTTGAGCAGTGAGAGTCTTTCAAGTTTAGAAAAAGGCACTCCGGGATTATTCGTACCAAGATGACACACAACCTGAACAACCATAACCTGGAACAAATACTATACTCAGGTTCTGCACCATCTTGGTACAAATACACCTAAAAATTATGTTTTGTATTTTCTGAGATTTACTTGTTCTCCTAAACTTCATCCAGAATGTTTTCATTTATGCACTTGTTATAAACTAGTCAAATTGTACAATGGCGTCTTGCACATAACACTAGCTAAAGATCCCGTTAGGATTAAACAAACAGGGTGAAACAGAGTTTGCAGCAACAAGAGGGGAGGGGGGTGGCATCTCATAGTATTAAAAGTTACTAATCCGATTCCAATAACGTGAGACAATTCACATTTTTCTATACTATTGAGAATTTTTGTTAAATTTCAGAACTGACATCACCCCTGAGAATGAGAAGCCTTCACAAGAGGGATTACCACCACGTAAGTTCATTTAGTATGTTTCATTTATTTTTATAATTTCATTGTTGATTTTGTGGTTGGGCGCTCCAGAAGTGTGTGTACCAATATGGAGGTAGCTACTTTTGTTCGCCCACTTTTCATCAAGTTGAGTAAAGGGACTGGAACCTATGGGCAGGGGTAAATTTACTTGGCTAACACAGACTGTCTCCGAACTCTTTATAGAACTAAGATAAGGAAAAATAATAAAATTATGGCCCAACCCTAACCTGGTACACACACTGCAGGAGTGAGTGAGTACCTTGTGATTGTTTGTCTGAGGTTTAGTGTTGAATTTTCACGATTTTCACTAGCATCTTGCGAAGGATGTGTATATGTCAAATCCCATGTCCGCCATCGCACTCAGGGTGTAATAAATACATCGAGAAGGCAATGCCCCAACAAAAAGAGTTTTTCAAAAATATTATAGCTTCATATATATATACGTGGCGTCTTGTCTGGAGCTTTCTTCTAGGTAAACAGATGAAGTATTATTTAAGATTTCAGAGGGTGGAAATTTCAGAAATTTCTAATTGCTAAGAAGTTAGACTTTATGAGCTAGTGGGCTTTAAGAGAATCTAAAGGGCTAAAAGCGTTTCAAGCTACAAAAATCGCTATTTATGATACAGAAAGAAAAGGTTCTACATTTCAAAAGGGGGTTTCCAAACCTCCAACCCCCTGGCCATGCCCTTGGTATTATCCCCAGAATATGCTTGAACCAGGAATATATCGGCAATCAATACCAGAACCTGCCGGCACGCTTTCCCATTCAACAGACTAGGCATAAACGGAGACAAAAATAAGTTTATAGAGATGAAACGTCTGTTGCTATGAAGCAGCGGTGTGCAACCTTTAACACAGAAGGGCCAGATATAAATAACTGGGTGAAACCGCTGGCCGCACCTTTATTAAACATAGGCTTTCTGGTAGTTGCAGACAAAAAAGAGTTAAAGGTATTGATCTTATGGCATGTATTGTTCGCCTTGCACATTGTTAATTGTTAGGGTATTGTAACATCACCTAAAGCATAGATAATAAATTGGATCCAGGATGGGCTTCGCAACAGAAAGTAATTAGAATTACTCGCAAGAACCAAATTAAACTAAATTAAAGACTCGTTTCGTGGGTCGCATACAATCAAAATTGCCACTTCCCTATGGGTCGCACAATTTTTTCTTGTGGGCCGTCTTTCACCCACGGGCCACAGGTTGCACACCATGCTATAAAGAGTCAACGTTGTTGCCAGTATTTGAAAAACATTTATAGTCACAATATGCAATTTCAACTTTTAGTTTTAGTTTTGATTTTTTTTAGACTGGGAAGCTTGCAGAGACAGGCATGGAAGAATATTCTATGTTGACCATCAAAACAGAACAACACAATGGAACCATCCAACTGTAAGTACCGTATATGCTCGCGAATAGGCTGAGTTTAAAACTCAAATAAAAAAAGTTGCCAAACTAAGGGACCGTCTTATTCGCGCATAACTCAGATTGCACAGAAAAATCGGCTCATTCGCGCATCAGAATTTGATCACGCAACGAGATGATATTATGCTGACTTAATGCCGGTAATTCCAATAGCTTCAAACCATACCAAGTTCTCACGATAAAAAGCGTGCACGCACACACACAATCGCTTGTGAAGGTGAATTGTCTTATCATACAGCTGATGGCTTGTACAGTCTGTGATTGGTTTGTTTTCGCTTGTGTTTCTTTTACATATCAGCAACAGTGTCGATTTGCGGCCAGTTGTTTCGTGGTGAAAACATTATTATTTGGTGCGCTATCGCCATAGAGGCAATTAACGGCGCGCGACTTTTAATCACCTTTTCGATATTACGATTAAGGGGCGGTAATAAGGACTCTTATCGAAATTAACTGCGTTGTGGACGATTAAAGGAAATTGTTTTATGCTGACTCAGGGACTCTCTTAAACTCCCGACAACAATCCCTTCCATTAATACAAATCACGACGCTTGAAAAGCAATATAGACTTTATTTACATGGATTTATATGTAAGAGTTACGAGTAAGAATCTACGGCCGTCGCTAACAAACAGAAATGATAAACGTGAGAAATATTTGTGTTACAGCAATTTTGTTTTCTTTCTGCACCTTTCTTAAGACGTCTGGCGTGTTAAGATTCGTAGCGATTTATAAGAATGTGTTAATACAGCGTTATTTCTTTCCTTGAAACGGACAAGGAACGAAATTAATCGCCGTTGTGGTGATCAAAGTAAATTGTTTTATGCTGATTCTGGAACTCTATTTTAAACTCCCGACACAATCACGACGCATTGAAAAGCAATATAGACTTTATTAACATAAATTAACAAATAAGAGTTACGGGTAATAATCCACCTACGGCCCATGATAAACGTGAGAAACGTTACAGTAATTTTGTTTTCTTTCTACGTTTTTCTTGAGGCGTCTGGCGTGTAACGATTCGTAGGACCGGCTTATGTGCGTTTTTTTATAAAATTGTTGTTTTAAGTCCGTTTTTAGGGAGTCTGCCTATTCGCGATATAGGCGTGATTTCGAGAAAATACGGTAATAAAAAGTTACTTTATTTATGTCTGTATATAACTAATTACTGCTTAGCAAGTGCTTAAATGAATTACCCTGTAACTGCAAGGGTCAGCAATCCTCTCACACATTTATTCATCCCCAACTGGAATGCGATTTAGTATTGTGAAGGTTATCTACTGTTCTTCGAGTCTTAATCTGATCTTATTTGGATCATTCGTTCAGCTTTCACCCACCCCATCAGCGTCAGGAGAGAGTGAGCTTTTACGATTGGGAGCTTCCAATGTCGTGTCCAGAGTTCCTTCATTTGCAAGTTCCACGGCTTTTTTTAGGCGTCAGAATTCAGTGGAAGGAGACAGGAATTATGAATCTGCAATGAAAAGGTAGTTTTTTGTTCTGTTTTTCATTTTTTTTCGACTTCCTAGGGGCTATTGCTTCTTTCAATTTTTGCTAAGTTGTGTTCACTTCACAATAGATAATGTTCACTTTATCTCAATTACTAAGGACTCAATATTCTCCAAAACAATATTAAAATCTCCCACAAGAAGTAATTGATTGGAATCGCAATAGTCCTAAAGAAGGTTCACGTTGTCGCAGAAATTGTTCACTTTATATAAGAGTTGTTCGATTTTTTCAAGAGGCAATTTAAAGGGATAATTCAGAATAGAGAAGTTTCACCTTACAATTAAATTATCGAATCATGTATTTGTGGACAACTGACCTTGGGGTCAGCATGTTGTTTTGCATGACTTCCTCCACCATCAAGTCCATGCATCTGAAACAAATAACTAGTCCCATACCTGGAATGGGTGGTAACCGGACAAGAGGTCGTGGATCGCCATACCATTAACCATTACCATGTCGTATCATTTCCCCCCAGACACAATAGGTAGATCCTGTCTTGTAAATCCCATCTTGAGTTTCCAATCATCAGGAATGAACCACAAGAAGAGCACATGGCTACTTCACCTTCACAGCTGGTTGGTCATGATCAGTCATCTGTGACTGATGACATCACAGGTCATGCTCAGCCATCTGGAAAAAAATATAATAAAGATACAGTTAATATAAGGTATTTTTTTATCTTTACTTTTACAAAAATTACAAATATTTTCCTACCCCCCAGGTATCAAAGCATAAAGCGAGCAATGAAACGACAAAGTAGAGTAATTGGGGAAGCCCCTGAGGAGGAGGAAACCGAGGAAGGGCCGACCGCACAACGAGCAGCTACTGAAGCAACAAGTCGAGGAATTCACTCCCCAATACCAACAGCTGTAGCAGAAGATGAGGAAGAAGGTATTTCCAATCGTAATTTAGAGCAGGGGTTCCCAAACTGGGGGTTACGACTTTGTAGACAATAAACAGCGCGCTTGCGCAACAATGCCGACATAATACGCTAGCGGGGAATTTTAATATTTGTCTGTATGGAATATTCAGCTTAAAAAATTGTCGCTGGGTGGCAATATACTTGCCCCCCCAAAACGAGGTTCATAGTTGTGTTTCAATAACAAATATCGCCGGGGTGAACTAAAACTTTTATTACTTATCGATTTTAATCGGTAAGTATGTTGATAGGTATTTGTCTGTTTCGGTATCTCACGAAAGCGAGATTGAATCTGCTCCAGATTCTGCATGTACATTCATCATATGTCGGACCAGAAGCCTATTGATTTTGGATGAATTATGTCGTATAATTAGCGAGTTATTAATTAATTAGTGATGGGACACAAGGTGTCACTATGGAGTAAGAGCGCTGTTTCGGGGATCCCCTAACTTTCGATCGATAAGTCTTCATTCTCTGACCGATATTCTCGTTTCCTATGTTGTCAATGATTTTACATCGTCATACATCCTTGTGAGCTCTAATTGTCTGTTGGGTCCGCGCCGTACTGAGTTTTAGGAGTCTGTGATAAAATCGTGATTACATGGTGAATATTTTGTGCTGATCGGAGCAAGGCTATTTCCATGCCAAACATAGACTTATGAAACTATTCAAAAATGGAGGGGATTTCTAGACTTCTTAACATTGCAAGGTTAATAATGTAACTGTTAGTCATTCATAGGTCTCCCCACCTCTCAGGGCTGGAACATTGAGCTTAAGTATAGAAAACATAGATTGCTAACTATGGAAGATACTATATCAGCTTTCTTCTTTCAGAAATCGTATTAGTTATTATGGTAGAACTATCTAGAGCAGGAGTTCTCAAACGGTGGGTCGCATGGACAATTTTCGAGGGTCATGAAGCTACTAAAAAATAAAAATATTTGTTATATTTGATTTTGCCCGCCATATTTTGAATATTTATGTTCCATCCACGTATTTTCAACATGTTTTTTGAATAAAACATATGTTATCTTCAGCTCATTGTTGGCTAGTTATTACTTATCGATTTTAATCGGTAAGTATGTTGATAGGTATTTGTATGTTTGTCTGTTAGATGCACGAGATATCTCATGAAAAAGAGATTGAATCTGCTCCAGATTTTGCATGTGCATTCATCTTATCTCGGACCAAAATCCTATTGATTTTGGGTGATTTATGTCGTATAATTAGCGAGTTATCAATCAATTATTGATATAGTGATCTAGATTTTTGTAAAGCGAGAGAATTTTGAGACCTGCCAAGTGTGTGTGTGCGATGCGCAGTGCGCAAGTTACAAGAGCGGATGAATCGAAACTGCAGTTTCTGTTTTGGGGATCCCCTAACTATCGATCGATAAGTCTTCGGTTTCCAACAGATATTCTCGTTTTTATGTTTGGGCGTGTGACAAATTTAAAAAAAGTGGCTTGAAAAGTTTGGGGACCACTGGTCAAGAGGAAACTGATCAAACATTTTTCCTTCATTTAGGAACCGCCGCTGCCTCTGCATTGATTGACACAGGACCTAAAGATGACACTGTCGATTCTAGAACAGAAACGACGGCTGAAGTCACACAAGAGCAGGTTGGTAGTCTTTGATAGGTACTGGCATTTACCTGATGTTTTCAGAATTATTGTCCAACTGTTAACTCAGTAGGCTATAAAAGTAAAAAAATAGTAAATGCCCATGAACATAACCAAAGTAACTCCAAGACACACCAACAGTAATAATCCCTGAAGCACAGAGAGAACTTGGCTACTTCACCTTCACAGCTGGTTGGTCATGATCAGTCACCTGCAACTGATGACATCACAGGTCATGCTCAACCATCTATGAAAATGCTAGTTGCCAGAAATACAAAAAAAAATACAGTTAACAGTAACTTCATCAGAAAAAACAAGATTCAGCTTATTGTCCACGTCAGAAATGGAAGTAGTTAGCCAGTTCTTTGTTTTAAATCCACAAGTTTGATGGCGGAGAAAGTCATAACCTACCAGTGGTAATACGAACCACGTAAGGGCGGCGAAGAGTCATGCACAGGGTGGTCCAAATACAGGCCCGCGGGCCACATGTGGCCCGCCGCTTCATTATCTGTGACCCGCGTTACATTCGGGGAGTAATCCAAAAATCGCATTTCGTGTTGTTTCGTAATAAAATTATTAAGAAAAATCTTTTGACATATTGTTACATCACTTATGTCACTGAATTGACTAGTGTTATGGCTAGCTGAGGCAACTAGCGAAGTTGAATGATGTGCTTGGCAGTCTAAATTATTGTCTGGCTTTTTATCTTTTTGGTCGGGAATATATGCTAACAATATAGGCATCATAGAAAACTAAAATCTAATGCGAATTCTATTAGCCTGGGATGGCTATGTCTGATAACTATGTGTTCGCACAATAAAAGTGTTTGTATTGTATTGCACTGTTTACCTATTCTTGGCACTATTGTGGCTCGCGAACAATGCAAAAAAAAATTTGTGGCCCGCGGAGCCAACAACCTTGGACCACCCTGCTCTAGCAATTCTCTCGCACAAAATTGTCGCGTTTTTTTAATGCTTAGCTCAACGGTGGGCAAGGTTCTTGACCCTGGGCCAAAAATGTAGTCCACGTAGACTGGCGGGCCATGTGAGTGTGATTTAAAAGTTACATTTTATTACCAATATTCACAGTGTTACAAATAGGGAAGACAGTAAGCATCGTGCCAAACTCACATTTGATTGCAATCACAACAAATTCTTTGAGTTATTTTTAGCTAAAACATTGAAATTTGGTTTTAGTTTGGTTGTGGCAGCATCAGGAGTGTCAGATTACCCAACGAGCTAATTTTGCTCGCGGGCCGTAGTTTGGTCAATTCAGGCTTAGCATGATGCGCCAGCTACGGCAAAATTCACTGAAGTTTATATTTCAATCTTTCAGCAAACAGCACTATCAACACCGGCATGTCGTTTTCTGTCTCATCCTGGATTCATCAATTTGTTGAGTTCAACTGAGGTAAGTGTAAAGAACCTACACTTTTTTGGGTACCCCCGAAGTATGTGTACCAGGTTAGAGTTATGCCATAATTTTATTTCGATTTTCCTTATTTTAGTTCTATTATGAGTTCGGCGACTGTCTGTGTTAGCCAAGTGAATATACCCCCTGCCCATAGGTTTCAGTCCCTTTACACAACTTGATGTAAAGTAGGCAAAAAAAATTAGTCACCTTCATATTGGTACACACACTTCTGGAGCGCCCTTTGTTGGACCTATATATTGTTATTTATCAATTTTAATCGGTAAGTATGTTTATAGGTATTTGTCTGTCTGTCTGTCTGTTTGTCTGCACGCAATATCTCACGAAAGCGAGATTGGATCTGCTGCAGATTTTACATGCGCATTCATCATATCTCGTACCAGAAGCTTATTGATTTTGGGCAAATTATGTCGTATAATTAGCGAGTTATCAATTGATTAGTGATCGGACACAAGGTGTCACTGTTGAGTAAGAGCGCTGTTTTGGGGGATCCCCTAACTTTCGATCGATAAGTCTTCGGTCTCTGACCGATATTCTCGTTTTCATTGTTGGGGAGAATCAGGTCACCTCTTTTAAAAACCTGTGTTTTTTAAAAAAGTTCGCTCAAGGTGAGCTGTGGCACTCACTCACTTAGAACCAGAATCACTTTTGAGTTACAGCCAATCACTGAAATGCCAGTTGGCTATTGAAAAGTGGGTACTCCTGTATACGCACCAAGATGTCGCACAACCTGAGCCCTAACTTGGTACACAACCTGAGTTCAGGTTGTGCGCCATCTTGGTGCGCATGCTTCAGGAGGTCCGAAAAGTGTATATGTAAGACAGAACTTTTTTAACAATATCCCTTAAACCTGAATGACGCTATGTATCGTATTGCTTCTGTTTATTGTCAGTAAGAGATTGTAGTGTCATACAGGTTCGCCCCATTAGCAATATGAAATTCTGACTTCAAAATAATACTCCTTACTCTAGGGAATCTGAATACAACAATCAAACACTAAATTGAATCAATGGGACATGCGAAACTATTGTTTTACAGAAAGATATTGTTTTATACGAGTTTTCAACCTATTTTAATCTGATGCATGCAAGTAATTCCTTTTGCGTTGCAAAGCCTGTACCCGAGTCCAATTTATCACCTATGTCTATGATGTCACAATACCCTAACAGCTAGCTCGTGCCAACCCCGTGCAACTAACTTGTCCCATTATGGCGTCATATGGACGCCATTTTCGATCATTCGGCTCGAGTAGTGTAACGCAAACAAGCCTAATTTTAGTAGTTTTAAAAGGCTATTGGGGCAGATTTAAATCAGTAGTTATATTCCGAGGGCGCAGAAAACCGATTGGATGTCTCAATCAGTATCGAACCCAATACGGGGCATTTACATTAAGAACCCACGCCGCTCGGTAACAAACATAATATAGACGCAACGCACGGTTAGTAAAGTAAAGTTTATTTCGGTTTTTCGTTACACTAAAACAAATATATAGGCAATGCAAGTCAACACACACACATATACGGTAGCCTACGGAAAATCGGGAAAGTAGGCAAAATCTTAAAACTATTCAAGACCTGCTGATGCTAGGGCTACCAACCGTCCCGGGAATGGCAGGGACAGTCCCGGATTTGACGTCTGGCGTCCCGGTGGTCCGGAATTTACTGACAACCAAAGCGTCCCGATGGCGTGACAAGACCTCCATGATGATTTTTCCGGTTCCATTACATTTGAACCCATGACAATTGCACCTGTATGCTATTGCACATATGGAATTTTTTTTGTTTTTCGGATAGTTGAACCCACACTAACCCTAACCCATGGGTTTTAGCACCCGCATATAGATTGAACCCGTGGATATACACATGGGTTCAAATGTACGGTCACCAATTTTTCCATTAGGATAGTAGACAAACACAGTTTCACACTACAACAGGCCTAAATGACTAAAACGAACTAAATTTTTCGACAGTGAGGGCGACGTCAAATGGGACTGTAGTTAAATATTGATGTCAATGTTACATTAGAAATTCGCCCTTTTTAGACACTCCAGGCTCCAGCTGCATAACTGAATTGTAAACGTCCTTACCAATGGCAGTACAATGAGAGAGAGATTTTATTATTTTGTCAACCAAAAAATACAGTCATCAATAAAATAGCCATAGCCACAATTTTGAGAAAAACGCAAAAAACAATTTGGAATTTTTTCATTCTTGAATATCTATTCTAGTCTATCTATTCGAAGTGATCAGTATTAAGTTTAACCCTGAGAGATGACTAATGGCAAAACTTGAACTATTTCGATAATATTTTTACAATAAATTTGTGAACAAAATGAGGGGATGTGATGGAAAATTATACCTAACTGATACCTGAATTGAATCGGGTTCGGACGATAATAATCAGAAAAAAATAAATAAATTGGCTATATACACAAAGTGGATCAGGGACAAAAACATTAAGGTGATAAGGATGTGTCTGAACGTAAATAACAAATAAAATAAAGTGCAACCCAGTGGACATGCACATTACACAGTAACACATTGGATGGGGCAAGAGGAATTCTATTCATAGGTTTGTCATGATCTGAAAATGTTTAAAAATTGCATGAACTTTATATATATGTTTGGGATTTTTGCAAACTTGCACTCCAGGAATGTTGATACTTATAATGTACTTATCAATAGGTTTTAGCAGGTGGGGTTTTAAAAATGTTTCTGACTCACACAAGAGGATCAATCAATAGGAAAATTCAATAATTCACATCTTGGGAATCGTGTCTACGAAACAAAGCGAGCAATGATCATCATAGGAATAGTGAACATTTTTATTTAAATCTTTGGTGTTACAGTATGATTCATGAAACCATTACAAACAAACTAATAGTCCAGAATTTGGAAATAATTTGATTTATTAACCAATAAAAAGAAATAACACTTCATATCAACTATCAAATAACAAAGACACGAGAAAAAGACCATTCAATTGATCAAGAATAGCATGTAAATACCTTAATATGAAAGACATAGAAAAGAAGTGCTATTCGATCGATCAACAATTAAAATTTTTACAATTAAATAACAAAGACATGGAAAAGGTACAATAATTGAAACTTCAGCAGTATGTGTACCAAGTGACGGTTAGCCCCATATTTCATTCCGACCTTCCTCATCTTAGTTCCATCACGAGCTCTGCCCATGTCAGCCAAGCGATGGCGACTACATATGAGTGGCTGATTAAAAACCCAAAAAAATAGCACCCCCGTGTTATAATGAAAGTGTTATGTTGTTTCATATCGCAAAAACGATTAGAGGGAAATTCCCCCCCCCCTAAATTTTCCAAAAGCATTCTCACATTTTTGTGCTTTTTTATATGACCCAACATTATAAGTTTCTGATACAACTGGTTCGTCCTGGAGTCGGATGTTTCAATCAAACCCAAAACGTTTAAGAAATGATTTACGAGACATTCAAACTGGCAAAAGAGTTTACTTTGGCATTCACAACTCACTGTAGGCCTATTGTCATTTTTTGAAAGTTCATCTCAGTCAATATTTTAGTTAATACAGGTCTTGATGATTTGAATTTTTTGGTGGATTTTGCACATCGAATATTGTCATTCCCTTTTATTTTAATTTTTTCCATTTATCCGTACTCTTCGTTTCAAATTGGTATTCTTCAAAAATGAGTCTGAAAAAAGAAATGAGTTGTAGGTTACACAATGAACGTACTTTCGAAATAACAAGCGTTCAGCATCCCATTTTTAACACAAAATATAATTGACAGTGACTTAACGAAACACGCATTCAGTTCAGAAATTCATTATTTCCACTAAGCTCCGAATTGTCTACTCATATTGCTGCTAATTACTATAAATTTTTGTTACCGCAGTGCTTTAAACAATCGTGACAATGAATCTGATACATTCAATGCAATGTTCTGACTTTGCATTACTTAGGAAGATTTAAAAACAGTTTCCCTAACCTGACATCTGAAGCCAGCATTTAGAAAATCTTACTAATTTAACTCAACTTTCCTGGGGTCAGAGCTAGCTTAAATGAGTCGAATCGGCAACGTGACATAAATAATTAAATATGACATCATCCTAAAACTGTGTACCACCTATCTTTCCTGGTGTTAGTTTGACATTAGGCCATTCGTTTGACTAACCTCACACAAGAAACTGCCTGGGCCAGATTTCCAGCCTTCACGTCGCCTACAGTTATTTTCCCATTTCCTCCTTCTCCGCATCTGATGATAGCTTCAATAGTTGCACTGTTTTGCTATTCCCGCTGCAATTAGAGCCGAACAGCCTTTAATTCTATAGCAGAAGGCACCAGCCTAGCCGCGGATCACGCAGAACCGCCGTAACCTCGCAGGCGATATTGATCGAAAATGGCGGCCAATTTCCATTGTTGCGCAACTTAGGTATATAAGGACTTTGGCTCGTGCCAAGCGAACAACCCTTTTCATAAGATCGATTACCAAAAATTTTGTGCCTACGACTACTAGAACACTAGAAAGTGCGGCCCGCGGCCTTCCTGTATTGAAGGTTGCACACCCCGGTTATAAACTTCTTTTTGTTTTGCTTTTCTGCAGGAAGCATTCAACCTGTATCAGGAAAGCACCATATTAAAATATATGATCACGAAAATAACTCGGGATAAAAATAATTTTCTACAATATCAACATAATAAAGATCTCGTCAAGTTAATCAACTGGTAAGAATCAATTTTGTGTTTAAATTTTAACATTTGTAGTTTAGTTTTTACAATACAGAAACTATGTGTTACTGTCGTCTCTATCTCCAAATCTCTCATTTTTATCTTGCTTAGCTTACCCTAAAGCAACACACGATGTTTGCTCGCAAAATTAGAGGCTTTTACTGCTATAATTCAGTATGCACAAAAGTAACTAATGCAACTCAAACAATGAATAACAATAGATTAAAACCAGCCTCAGCCACGCCGTCATGGATTGGTAAAATCTTTCTGCTTCCTTTGACATGTATCCTTGTGCATTTACGTCGCGCTGGACTAAATCATTAGGGTAATTAATACCCCCCAAACCATAACATTGATGTTCACTAATTCATTTTCAGTTTCGCTGATCCGAGCATGGAGTTACCAAGGGGTTGGGAAACTAAGAAAGATTCTTCGGGAAAAACATTTTTTATCGATCATAATTTAAAAGTAACAACCTTTATAGACCCAAGGTAAGCTGTTTTATTCTTGTTGGACACGTTTAGTGGCCATAACGATCGTTTCAAAATTTTATTGTTATTGTTATTTGTCTCCGTCTCCATTTTTGAAAAAATCGCTTTTTCTCTTCGAATACTGGACCAATTGCTTTGATATTTTCAGTGGTTAGTGGCATTTTTCTCCAGAAGGCTATTACTTTTTTTTTCGCTATGACGTCATCAAAATTATTGCCACTGGGTGGCGCTACGTGTCCATATATTTGAGCATACCTCTCTTGTTTTCAAATAATAAGGTTCTAGATCAGGGGTGGGTATGTTTTTTGGACCTCGGGCCAAAAATTTTGCCTACCAAGACTGGTGGGCCATGAATAGGGTAAGTAAAAAAATCAACTTTCATAACCTAACCTGTGACAACCTAAAATACAATTTTACACAGACTACGATCATAAATAACAAGCCTACTGCATCATACAGGATTAAATAACAACAACTAATTAGTGCTTGCAGAATTTGTTTGAAACTGAAATTTAGGGCGGCATCAGGTGGGCCATATTGAATCACCCAATGGGCCGGATTTGGCCCACAAGCCGGAGTTTATTGCCAAGTTAACGAGTTTTCAAGAGTTTTAAGGGTCTAAAAAGTGTTTCTAGAATTCTAGCTATGTAAAATGACTATGTATGATACAGAATTTTTTTTGGGGGGGAAATCATAAAATGGGGTAAAGAGAGATCCCTTTTTCAATATGTTTGTCAATTGTGAAATTTATGGGGCTCTATGGATAATAGTCAATTTCTCCACAGGCTCCATAACACCGAAAAAAAAAAAAATTAGAACCTCTGCTCTGGACTTAAACTGAGCCGCTGATACCATAAAGATGCATTTTATCACCTTTCCTCTCTATATAAGTAAATATGAATTTCTTTTTTTTAATTTGAAATTCTCAGGCTACCTCTGATAGAACACGAGACTAACTCATCAACAACTCCACAACGGCAAGATGAAAATGCAACAGTGAGGAGTAGCAATGAGGTAGGCTGACTTATTATCTTATGTTACTGCCTTATATCAAGTCCTTCACCAGTGGTTTGCAATCATGGTTTCCTAAGTCCCACAGTCTCGTCCAGTGATGTGCCAGGGAAGCCGTTGGGGTCCAAAGTAGTGGCAAACGCGAGTTACGTTGAACACAATTAAATTAATATAGCCACAAGACATTTTATATTCTTGTAGTTGCTATGGTTTAAATATTATGCGACAGAAAACGTCATTATGGGCTAGTTTAACAAATGCGCAATCACGGCGACCCGTTCAGAAACTATTGCATCGAAACTTCTGAATGCGATTTTGAAAATCGCGGCTGCTTCTATGGTTCTGCCAGCGCAGTTGATTACATATTATTATCTATTACCTATTATTAAATGTACAGTGATACCTCGGTAGTCGAACACAAATTATTCAGTATACGTCCAAGTGATCTACATGCAAAAATACTTGATAATGCCCTAGCAAAGCACTCTTTCCCATTATTCTAAATGCAATTTTCATTTAGGAGGATTTGACTCGTGCGCCTGTCCAATCACCATTAGCAAACCAACAACCGATTGTTCCTCCGAGACCTGAGAGAACTTTGACTGACAGGTCGAGGAGATTGGACACGATCAATGCAACTGCCGGGTAAGAATTTTAAATAGGTTTTACATCAAGGTTCTGGACCATTACACAGTAAGAATTTTTATGGGGTCAAAGGAAGAGAAACATTCGTTAAACCGGCGATCATGCAACGCCTACTTTCGGTGCTTTGGTTGTTTTTATTGTTTGCCCTTCAGACTTTGCCTGGGTTGCGGCCTAGCAACTCAATAAGGGGTTGAAAGTTTGCTCAAATTACTTTCTTGACATCTCATTTAAAAGTGGAAAGGTTTCTGATAGAAGAGTAACTATAAATTATAAGAAATATCAAAGTTTTGGATGAAGTATCGGATTCCGTGTGACTCTGAGAAAATTGGAAAAAAAGAAAAGAGTAACAGCCTTTAAGCGACTTCCTCCATTTTTAAGTTCTCTGGAATAGATTGATCCTTTAGTTGCGGAGAAAAGGCGATTTTTTTCCAAAAACGTTCGTGCTGAAATCAAGAGTATAGCAAAATAATCCATATGTTCCTTTTTTGTCCAATAAGCAAACACTTCTTCAAGGTCCCATGTAATTCATAAGTACCAACGGCCTTGTCCTGAGTAAACTCGTATAAAAATACTCACAGTGGTTATATTTTATTTCCAGACCTCCTGAACCTGCCCCAGACCATGACCTGCCTACAGCATATAATGAGAAAGTGGTAAGTTATCATGTTTTCTTTGAAGAAAGCACAAGGCAACATTCAATCACATTGTGGCTACGCAGCATAGCATTTTTTATGGAACACTAAGTGGGCTTTTGGATCGTTTGTTATTATGTTGTTGTTGTTATTCTTGTTAGAATTTTTCTTCTTATCAGACATGAAAAGAGATCTGATATTTCACCTGAAATGCGCTGTATAATATTTAACTAGGGAACATGTTTTATGATACTGTGTTGCTGACTTCCACGTTTTTATGACATCGTGACGGCTGGAACCGGTAGTCAATCGTGTGGGATTGTATACCTGTACTACGGCGCTTTGGACTTTGTGTCCATATATTTGAGCATAGCTTTCTTGTTTTATATCAACTGCTCTTAGCAAGACTCTGGACAAGTGGACAATTCCTGTTGTGTCTATTCTGCATGGTGTGGGCAAAACAGTAAAAGATTAAACGCATCGAAAAGTGAAAAAATTATTATGTATTTTTACCTACGTAAGAGTTTTTTTGAATATAAGCTGTAGAACCAGGATTTTAAGCTTGATGGGGAAAAATATGAGTGTTGACAAGAGCCATATCAAATTAGAGATGTACCGATACCACTTTTGTCGTCGATACCGATCCGATACCAACTAAAATGCTGATACAGATATTACAAAAATGCAGATATTGCCGATATTTCGATACCGATACTTAGTAATTATTACCTTAATTAAGTGTGCTATGTATAGGGCAGACGGGTTCAAACAATGGTATTTAAGTATTTTCATAGTACACATTATTTTAGATTGACAAAGAGATATATCACATAATATGAAATTGATGTTTGGTATCCAGATGCATTAATTGGTTCAGATTCATTGTGCACCATCGCTAGTAATCTCGGTGTTCAATTAGAAAACTTATAGGCCGGGATGTGCAATTTCAATTTAATATTGATATCGTGCACGACATTCGAATATTGCTTTTCGTGTTTAAAAGAATAACGAATATCGCCCACGCATTCGAGCGCCGTCGTCCTACGTTTTAATTTAGTGCATTTTTGAAATATTTTATTTTGTGTTCAATCGTAATTGTCGCGGCAATAAATTACAGTCAAAATAATAGAATATCAATCAGCGCCGACTAGAAGTATTTATAGTACGTCGAGAATGTTTTTTATTTTACTATTTTATAATATTTCACAATTACTATCGTATATTTTCTGTCGCCTGTTAGGACACCCCTGCCCTAATTAATCCTGATTGTGGTTATTCTACAGTGCATATTTGCTCATTTATTATCAAACAATGCTTGCTCTTAACATAGTTCAAGAGTTGTTACTTATCGATCTTAAGATCGGTAAGTATATTGATAGGTATTTGTATGTCTGTGTGTGTGTGTGTGTGTGTGTGTGTCTGTTAGATGAACGCGATATCTCGCGAATGCGAGGTTGAATCTGCTCCAAATTTTGCATGTGCATACATCTTATCTCGGACCAGAAGCCTATTGATTTTGGGTTGATTATGTCGTATAATTAGCGAGTTATTAATTAATTAGTGATAGGACACACGGTGTCACTACGGAGTAAGACCACTGTTTTGGGGGATCCCCTAACCTCCGATCGATAAGTCTTCGGTTTCCAACCGAATTCTAGTTTTGGACTTATTGTATTAACCACTCTAATCAAAAATACTTTTCAAATTTTTCATGTGTTTTTTCTATAATAGGTTGCTTTTCTTCAACAAGCAAACATAATAGAAATCTTGAAAGAGCGCCACCCGGAGGTTGGTACGAGTGAAGCTCTCAAAGAAAGAATCATGGTTATAAGAACAGAGGGGGTAACTGCCTTGGAAAGGTTGGTTTTATTTTCTATAATGTTGTTAAAGTCAGTTATATCCTTGTTAAAAAGATCAATAATATAGCAATACGGGAGGATAGATAGGTATTGGTTAAATTACGGCATATTGTGAATTTTATCAAGAATTAAATAGGAGACCCAAGTTTTCATTAGTCTAACGTTTGATTCATATTTGATTCAATTTTTGCTATAGAACAGTGGAACTCAAACTTTTAGAATTCGTCAAGTCTCGCGCTTAACCTAAAAAATAACTAGCTCACAATAAGTTACAAATGACAGATAGTGAGGCGGAAAGTATGTTTTATTCCAAAACACAATGAGAATATGTGGATGTAATAAAGAAATATAAACAGTGAAGAAACGTAAATATCCAAAATAAGGCAAGTAGGATCAAATCAAACCAATATTTTTAATTTTAATCATCTTCACGTCCCTCGAAAAATTGCCTACGCAAGGAACCATGGACTAGATGGTGGAAGAAGTCGTAACCGACCAGCGGTTACGTGAACCACCCCACGACGGCGAGGAGTCCAGCAATCCTCTCGCACATAATGATCACGCATGGGATTCGTACCTGCAAACCCATGCAGAGTAAACTGATGTGCACATCGCCAAGCCTGGGCTTCTATCATCACATGGTGGTTGAATAGACAGATTTTTTTTAAACTGTAATCTGAGTTAATTTTTTTTACTTCCAGGTTATCTCATAGTGTAAATCTCGCAATTTTATTGAGCAAATTTGAAGACGAAATAATGAACTTTATACCAAAGGTGAGGTGGAGTAACATTTTTTGTTTTTATGTATTTCTGGAAGCTATATTGTCTTCTCGGATAGATATATTTATCTTCGATGAAATTCCAAAATCCATTTCCATTAGTCTCATAATATAATATCTCTTGTAGATATTGCAAAGAAATATTCTACATGATTAAGCCACTTTGTTGTCTTTGATTTCCTCTGGAATTATCGTATTTCCAGGCTATTGAGTTGCTTTCATTTTGCCAAATTTTTGGCCTGAATTTTTTTTTTTTTGGGGGGGGGTTATTGGGCAGCTTTGCTTATTTCATCGTTTTTTTTTTTTCGTATAAGTCTTCTCAAACATGATTTGTGTAAATTTATATATGTTTTATATGTTTTATAATGATTTTAACATGAAAGTTTCTGCCGATCATGTTGTTTAATTGACTATGTTCTGCCAGCTGTTATTTGTATCAAACTCTTCAAAAACACGACTGGTGCAATGAAGCTCTCCCTTTTTATGCCTGATATCGGTAAATCGAAAAAACTAGAGGCTACCACAAGATAAAGTTTGGCTATTAAACCGCCTCCTATTATAAATAATCAACATTTTCAATTCATATTCCAGACAGTGCAAAGTCGATCTGTCCTCGCCGAGTCCAGTCCTTCACAATCCAGCTCAACATCAACAAGGAATAGAACAGGAACGTCATCCCATGGTTCTCCTGTCATGATGAGCAATGAAATAACTAAAGGTAGGCAAGACTGGAACAGTAGTTTTCCACCTTTTTTTATTTGCGGCCCACTTTTTTTTGCACAAAAATGGTACTCCCGGAGTATGTGAACCAAGATGGCAGACACTGGAACGTAGTATGTGTACCAGGTTAGGAAGATTGCTCGTTATAACTTTTATTCACGCCAGACTGTTATCGCAGTCATAGCGTACCAAAGCTGCTCCACGTGTGTGTGCGTGCACGCTCTTATCGTGAGAACTTGCCATGGTTTGGCAGTTCGGCAACTTTTTTTTTTGAGTTTTAAACGCAGCTTATGTACGACGATATACGGTACTTCTCTTCGAGTTTTCTGCTCCCCAAGTGCTGTGGGACTCGCTATTTTGCTCTGAATTTTAGTGTACTATCTTGATTAAACATGGAAATACCCTCATTCATCTTATTTCTTTCTGTATTCAATTCAAAACATAGAAATTGAATATCGCAACAATTTCTCTTTTCCTTTCAGCAATTGCAAGATCACGAGCGCCTGCTCCTTACAGGAGAGATTTTGAGTCAAAACTTCGAAATTTTTATAAAAAACTTGAAAACAAGGGTTATGGGCGAGGACCTTACAAAACAAAGTGAGTATTGGACATGTGTTGCAATAATTTAGTGTTTTTTTTTTTCTATTTTTTATTTTTGAGAGAGTTTTCTCACTTCTGAGTGTGTTTTCCCACTTCTGAGTGTGTTATCTTCACTTATGAGTAAATTATCATCAAAAAATTTTTGATATTTCAGAATGCAAATACGTCGAGATCATCTCTTAGAAGACGCGTTCAGCAAAGTCACAAACCTCGCTCGAAAAGATTTACAAAGAAATAAACTCAACATTACGTTTGCTGGAGAGGAAGGACTTGATTACAGGTTTGAGTGCTGATACTTCAGTCTTCTCTATAAATAAGGCACTTGAACAGTGGTTCTCAGACTATTTAAGTCACACCCCTTTTTTTTTAATTTGTCAAGTCTCGCGCTCCACCTCAAAAATAACTAGATAACAATAAGCTACAAATAACAGATAGTAAAGCAAAAGTATGTTTTATTCAGAAAACATGCTGAAAATACGTGGATGGAACGTAAATAATGAAAGAATGTAAACATCCAAAATAAGGCCGTTAAGTCTAACAAATATTTTTAATCAGCTTCACGCCTCCTCAAAAAATTGTCTATGCACCACTTGTGAGAACCACTGCACTGAACCATACTACTCCATACTTAGTTTCTGTGACAACCCTGACATCTATGAACGTTACCCTAAATGATTTAGGAATTTAAGGCTTTAGATCGGCTTTAAGGTTCCAAGGCCAATCCAAAATGGGAGTAATAATTTTGGGATTAGAATTTATGTGTGGTAGATTAGGATAAGTGTATATTGGTAATTGGATAAGAATCAGCTGCACAATGTGCTAAAGCAAATTTATGAATAATCACTGGCCAACCATGGTACTCTTCATGAATCGTCGCCATTGATTCTTGTTCTGAGCAAACCAGCCATGTTAATGTCCGCAATATACATTGTCTGAAATTCTTGTTTTCGGTGTTTCACGTTCTTATTTGCCAGGGGTTGTACCAAAGAGTAGATCTTTTGTTAGGCCACCTCTTCTTGCCAAATCCCCCCCAAAATCGCAATTTCATGTCATTGATGTTGTCCATCAGTCTCCGGCATGGTCAAGTACACAGTATGAAAAAAGTTCAAATTTTGAACCCACTTCAAGTATATTTCTCAATCACTTATTCAGGACTTCTTTTTCAGTGGTCCGTCTCGTGAATTTTTCTTCCTGGTATCGCGAGAACTATTCAACCCATATTATGGATTGTTCGAATACTCAGCTGTTGATACTTACACTGTTCAGATCAGTCCCATGTCTGTCTATATTGATAGCCCTATGGAATGGTAAGATTGCTTTTTACTTGGTTTTTACTGAGTAACTGTACTTTTCATTAGAGAGTTAAGGATTTGGTCGCTTCGGAAGTATGTGTATCAATATGGAGGTAACAAATTTTGTTCGCCTACTTTACATCAAGTTGTGTTAAAGGACTGAAACCTATGCCTAGGTGGTATATTCACTTGGCTAACACAGGCAGTCCGCGAACTCGTAATTGAACTAAAATAAGGAAATCAGAATGGAATTATGACCTAACCGTAACCTGGTACACATACTATGAGAGTACCAGGATTTGTTAGTACTTCAAAGTTGAATTATTTGAATCTTTTCAAATCAGGTTATTGACCCGAGTCACATTTTACATAGACTCATCCATATGAAATGACTCAACGCAGACTCAAGACCTTGATAGACTTTGCTTTAGATAATTTAGTGGGGTTTTACTATTAATTATAAAATCGACTCAAACTCAATTTTGGACTTGGAACAGCAGTGACTTGACTTGTTACTCAGGAATGTTGTAACTCAACTCTGCTGGCTCTAACTATAAAATAATATAGAATTTGGCTCAAGACATGGATGACCTGTAATTTAACTTGGACTCTGGGGCTAGATACTTGCTCCCAAGTTCCAACAGTGGTTAGAAACTGAAAATTTCAAAATCTGACTAAGCTAACTTGTTAATGACTGAATCCAATATGGACATGAATTTTAACTTGTTAATGACTGAATCCAATATGGACATGAACTTAAATTTTGGTACTCCTGAAGTATGCGCACCAAGATGTCGCATAACCTGAACCCTAATCTGGTACACAACCTGAGTTCAGGTTGTGCGCCATCTTAGTGCACATACTTCAGGAGGTCCTAACTTTTTCTTAAACTTCTTATTGTTCAGTCGGCGCTCCGGAAGTATTCGTACCAAGATGACGCACAACTTGAACAACCCTAACCTGGTACACATACTATGGTCAGGTTGTGCGCCATCTTGGTACGAATACTCCGGGAGCACCGTTTAGTCACTAGCACTCTTACGCCGGTGGGTAAAATCTGTAAAAAATGTACTATTCAGTCAACCATTACATTTCAGGTTCCGATTTGCTGGTCGCATTATTGGCCTAGCGCTTATTCATCACTACCTGTTAGACGCATTCTTCACACGACCACTATATAAAGCGTTACTTCGAGCAAAATGTGACATCTCAGATTTACAATACATCGACGAACAATTCTACCAGTCCCTCATGTGGATGAAAGACAATGACATAACCGACGTACTGGATTTAAATTTCACTGTAGATCAAGAAGTCTTCGGGGAGGTTTGTTTGGATTCAAATTTTTTATTCATTCTGGGAGGAGAGGAAAGCCAATGATATGAATAAATCAGCTGACAAGCTTTTTGTCATAGTTCGATCTGGAAATGAAAAAAATTTTGGACTTGATTTTGGACTTGTTGTTATGCAGTTTACAGATCTAGGGTTAAAACCTCGCATTTAACCAGGCTGTAATAAATTGTAGGCACCTCTGTCTCTGTATCTCTATTACCTGTAGGAAAACATCAACCCTTAATTTACCTTTTTTGGCTTTAGGGATTGTTTTGGAACGCACACACACAATGAGGGCCAATGTCTCTCTAAAGCAGTGTTTTCCAACGGGGGGGCCTGTGGCCCACTCAGGGGACCAAATGTACAGTTAGAGGGGCCAATAATGTTACGCGCAAAACTGATTTTCCCTTTACAAGTAAACTCCTCGTTCGTCCTAGTTTCATTTCTTGATAAGGGTATTTCACAGGGTGTTTTCAATTTGTTGAGCATGAATTGATTGAACACAATGGATTTTAAAATCTATCAAACAAAACAATACTATAAATACTACTGGTATGATGAGACCATATGAGCTAAAAAGCCTCTAGAGTCACAAGCCATAAACAGTTTGTAACCCCTGACCTAAAGCTTAGCAGGATATGTTGGGCACAGTGGTTTTAAAATTTTCATGATCTGCGACCCCGTTCCAAAAACTCCTTTGGTCCCTTGCTTTTGTACAAAAATATATCAATTGCTTTCAACAACTTTCAACATGACCCATGTTTAATAATAAAAAGCCAACAAAGGACTTGTCAAAGTACAAAGTATTAAACAAACCACAGTCAATTTACTTTTAAATAATGTAGTCACCGTGAATTATACCCAGTGAAGGTCTTTATCCATGGCTCCTGTGTGAGGACCACTCATTATAGAAGCCCTGTTTGAAGAACCTTGGTTCAGCATAATGCTTATCATGAATGGTATTTAGTAATAGCCTCCTGGGGGGGTCCGGTAGCCACTTACTTGTATGGAGCCTGAGTTTAGCATGACACGATACGCCAACTGCCTTTAAGCAATATTCTCCAGTCCTTAATTTGAAATCTCATTTCTTTAGATTGTTGAAAAAGAATTGAAACAGAACGGCAAGAACATTCCAGTAACGGAGAAAAATAAGAAGGAATATATTGAACGAGTCGTTAAATGGAGAGTGAACAGAAGCACAAGAGAACAGACCAACCAGATTGTCAGGTAAGAGTGTTTTGTTTCATTTCTGAAAAATTATATTACGCTTATTCCACGCAGTCGATAGCACAGTGATTCCCACCCTTTCATGGCTCGTGGTCTCCTATCGGAGGCTTATAACACTCATGGCCCCTTGTTTATTATTCCAGTGGTATTTATAATGTTATTATGGTTGGTAGATTCCAAATCATTCAAAAAATTCATGCTGAACAAAGAAAAAGACACCAGTTAATGAGTTTTGTTCCTCGCATTGTGGCCCCCCTAAGTTAGGAGCCACTGCGATAGCACATAGTATTCTAAATTATTTACAAAATTGAAAATCTGAAATATTAAATCTTTGAATATTTGATTCATGTTAAACATCCCTTGTAACAAAGTTTCACATTTTTATGTTTCAGGGGCTTCAATGAAGTGATTGATCTTCGTCTTGTGTCAGTATTCGATGCTAAAGAGTTAGAACTTGTTTTGTGTGGAACGGCGGAGATTGATTTGAATGATTGGAGACAAAATACAGAATATAGAGGAGGTAAATGGCCTTATATTTATGAACACTAAAGTGTTTTTTCTTGTGTGCTTTGTTATTTTTTCTTTGAACAAGACAAGATGAGTGGCCACTGATACGCGAAGAGCCTATTCAGGCCCAATTACGCGTCATTTTATATACAGTGATACCTCGGTATTCGAATGACTAGATACTCGAACAATTCGGTAGTAGACCAAAATTTTATTTAAAAAGGCTATGGTACTCAAACGGAAATTAGGTACTCGAACACCCGCACACCACTGAGTGAGATGACGTCACCCAAACCACGCATCTTGGCTGTCTCTTGACCATTCAACAAGAGGAAAATACTCAAATATATGGAAACGAAGTATAGTATGCAATCTGTCACAGTAGACTACCGGTACGACAATCTTCACAACTAACGGGAAAGCTGAACAGTCACTGTGTTTGACAACCGAGGTATCACTGTATCTGTGAAAAAAGATCATGGTGTGTGATATTACTATACTCTACGAATCTAATCGAAGTCAAAATCGTTAACAATAATCGTTAAGAGCAGGGGTTCCCAAACCAGGGGTCGCGACCCCAAATTGGGTCCGAGTGATAAGTAGGTAGGGTCGCAAACAGGTCATGTGGTCGGTGGGGTCGCTGAGGTATGGTAGAGGATGAATGTACAAATCATCTAAGATTTGACAAACCATGTTAAATTTAGCAGTTCGTACCATGGCTTACTGTAAAACAGGCTCATAAGCATCGCTTTATGCTTATGCTATAGAAAATGTACGCGCTTATTGTGACATCACTGTCTGGTTTTAGCTTCTTTTACTTAATACCACCACATGACCAAACTCAAAAGTCCAGTGAAAGAAGCTCTGAAGTTTCATGGAAAATATATATATTGACATGGGGTCGCACTGGACTCTTGAAAGTTGTCCTTGGGGTCGTCCTGAAAAAAGCTTGGGAACCCCTGGTTTAGAGCAATGGGTATAGGATGAGGGTTCTTAATTTAAAGCAGCAGTTCCTAACCGGGGGTCAGTGCGTCCGAAGGGGGCCGACAGAGAGGTTGTACCGGGGTCACAATGTTAGAAGTAGAGTTGATTCTACATTTCACTTTACAAAAAAGATTTCCGTTCTCTCTAATTTCATTGCTTGATTAGGTTATTTCGCATGGTGTTTTTACTTTGTTAAGCAGGAATTGTTTGAACATAATGGGATTTAGAATATACCAATCAAAATAACATTATAAATATCACTGGAATGATAAACAGGGGTGCCAAGTCTCTGGAAGAGGGTCAAAAGCCATACAAGGGTTGGGAACCACTGATTTAAAGGCTCCTCAAATTTGGTGACTGCTCCCAAATCAGAGTCAACTTTGAATCCTTTTTTGATGATCTTCCTCCATTTCAGGTTATCACGACTTGCATCCTGTCATCCAATGGTTCTGGGAAGCTTTGGAAAAATTTGACAACGAACGACGTTTGAGACTTCTTCAATTTGTAACAGGAACAAGCAGTATTCCTTACGAGGGATTTACTGCTCTACGAGGGCCAAATGGGCCGAAGAAATTTTGTATCGAAAAGTGGGGTAAAGTACACTTTCTACCAAGGTAAGATGATAGAATATCTTCTTCATAGTGAACAAGGAATTTGAAACAGATATTTGAATCAACATAATTAGGTCTAGCACTCTAACACTTTGTTGGAATAAAAACCATAGTCCCTTTGCCAATCCCTGCTGTAACTGCTAGATTTTTTTGTTGATTTAACATTTTTGATTTTCTATTTTTTCAGGGCGCACACATGTTTCAATCGCATTGATTTACCAGCTTACACATCGTTCCAAATCTTATGGGAGAAACTAACTATTGCTGTGGAGGAGACAAGTACTTTTGGAATGGAATAAACTTACATTTCTTCATCATAAATTTTTCTACATTGCGGGAACCCGAACAAATCTAATATTAGAATTGATACGAAATCAATTGTATTTGATATTTTAAATCGATATTTTTTGAATGAAATATAGACTTACTGTCTTTATTCATACCAGGATTGAAAAATGTAGTTTCCAGCCACACTCAGCCCGTCTTCACCAATGGCGACTTTTTATACCCCCTCTTAAAAAATGTCGCTAACTTTTTGTTCAAACGTGCGAGAAACTTGTGTGTAAATACTTTCGGAAACAACATAAACTGATAATAACATATTATTGCCACGTAATGACCAAGGATGACAGGTTTCTCAATATATTGGTTTATCGGAGAAAAAGTTTTCACTATCACACATCGAAGATGCCCCAATTGAATTAATATTCGAAATGTTTCTAAAACAGTAATATTTAATATTGATGGCATAGAATGGTACTTCAACACCTTTTATTCGAGCCTAAAAAACTCAGTCAACAACAATCCAGAATACAAGCTTAAATATTCATATTCTACATTGTCAATTAATACAATATAAACAAACTTCATATTTTTCGTTAATACATTATCCTACAAAAGTCTGAAAAATTTTATGAACTCAATGTTCCATGAAAAATGGAGAGCCAAAATCAAACAATTTCATATACCGTATATAGGACAGCATATATACAGAATACTTAAATTTTCCGCACACTAAAGCAAAAGTACTTTTCAGTAAAATATTGTCTGGCTTTTTAACTATTACATGGGTTAAATGAAATAATGTGCAGAAGGCAATTTCACTTGGAATGGTCATCTTCATTTTTGCTACAGCGATCTTGCATTATAAGCATCCACCAGCATAAAAGAAAGATAAGTAGTTTGTGCGCAGAAACCCAATTAATGGTATACATGTATACAAAGATGTTACGCTGTTCCAATAGTTTCTTTTTTTGAGACGTTTCCTTATTACATCAACTGCACTTGTGTTCCATACAAGGATAGCTATGTTAAAAATTTTCAGGTAAAAATATACTCTGTGAAGGCCATGTAAGTAGTAAATAGCATGGAAACTTCAGTCGAGATTCCAACATAGGGGTCCCTTGGCCTATGTAGGTACATACAGTGGGTCTTACCTGTGGCTACTATGTCTGTAAACTCATAATTCATATCATGCCTTATCTTTGTTGTACCTTTGACTCCAATTTTAGTACAGACAGCATTTGGGGCTTCAATCATCGTTATTTAGATCTTGAACAATTCCAATGAAACTTATCTTTTTGTTGAAACTATTTTTTTCCACTGTGAATACCTCTGTATATAATAGTAGCATAAGTAATTTTTTCAATTGTGAAATCAATGTTTCTTTAAAAACTTAATTAAAAAGTTAATTTTTGTTTGCATGTGTTAGATTCTTTTCAAATGCATCTGTATTGAGGGCGCTCTAGAAGTGTGTGTACCAATATGGAGGTAATTAATTTTGTTCGCATACTTTACAACAATTTGTGTGGACAATTTGTAGGACTGAAACCTATACTGTATATTCAGTGGTGGGATTCAGCCGGTTCGCACCGGTTCTATAGAACCGTCTCACGAAATTTTATGAGATCAGCAAACCGGTTAGCATGACTAGTTATTGTCAATGTTCTGTTTGTAACAAAACCGGCTGAAAAATATGACTTTTGTGAAGGAACCGGCTGACAAAAAACTAGGATTACCGCATTAAGTGCTATTGGATGAGATTATATACTGCTATAAAGCTATTTGATTATTTTTGGAAATTTTCAGTTTTTTTATGAATTTCTGATATTGCAATAAAAATTGACTGATAGAAGGTTTCGGTTACAAAATTGTTTTGAACTCACTACTTACCGCAACTATTCATTTTAAATTATCTATCTCCTAGCAAACTCATATTGACATTATTATTTATAAAATATAACCCAAGTCACAGCCCGCTTCACAGAATTGCCTATTAGATACCAGACCCCTCTATTTGAACTAAAAAAATTGCCGTAACAGGGAAATTTTCATGCCTTGTTCCAGATTTCAAAGTCTCGTAATGGCATTGTGCTATCCTTAGGTGGCAACTCTGATTGAATTCATAATTGTACTTTTTGAGCTTACCCAAGTTCTGAACTTATTCTGTAAGATAATTTTGTTTATCTATTGTGAAATAGTACTTACAGCATTGTTTATATATTTTTTCTGCACAATTAAAAATTGCAAAGTTTCCTTAGTAAAAAGTCATATTAATTTTGTTGTTGTTGAACTGTTTCTTGGGCAAAGGTCCCTATGCCCATAGCCACATCGCGTCTCCAAGTTGAACCAGAGGTCTAGTCGTTCACTCAATTAAGCGTCACTGGCAGTTATTTGATAGCCATCTACCTGCGATGTTTACCTGGGTGACCGTACATTTGAATCCATGCGTATATCCACGGGTTCAATCTATATGCGGGTGCTAAAACTCATGGGTTAGGGTTAGTATGGGTTTAACTATCCGTGACACAAAAAAAATTCCATAGGTGCAATAGCATACAGGTGCAATTGTCATGGGTTCAAATGTAATGGAACCGTTTACCTGTGCTTCTACAATACTGCATAGTACTAAGCTAACAGTCTATTTGTTTGACTGCCTGACTAGGTTAGGTTGCCTCATCAGGTGGCCAATGGGAAAGTAGCCAATCATATTGCATGATCAATAGTCTGAAGCATGGGTGCTTTGAATAATTATGATTTGCTTGCATATTATCATGGTATTACAGATCTTTTGAACTATACGCCAAAGTAGCATCCATCCAAATAGCTCACTAAAAATTATTGCCGACGTATTTGAGTCCCCATGGATAAATTTAAAAAACCTACAACCCCTGCCTTACTGGACTTCGCAGAATAGATGTTTCTTGTGGTGTCACGCTAAAGGGGATCCGTTTCAGCAACGCCTATATCAGCGCACATCAAAGCGGTTTTCAAAGTAAAAGTTGCGAGCGATGAAAATGGGTCGCATTACAGTGATTCAAGTTTGTCAGAACAAACAAGTTCTTTTCATTTTGTCAACATTCGGGTTATTCTTAGTAAAAACTAGCTTATTGCATCATAAGTCGTTTTCCGAGAGTTTTAATAGCCACTGACATTAGAGTAAAGTTGAAAGTTGATGGAAAGAACGCTTGGCTCTTTCAATGCTAAAGCTTGCCAACCTGTGGGCTCTATGAATCGGTAAAATTATTGTTGATCTGCCCTTTGACCACACTCCTTCATGAGTGCCATAAACTCGAAATTTTAGTCTTTTATGCCAAATTAGGGAGAAATTCAAAAGGAATCAAATTTATTTTTGGAAATGTAGTAGTATGGGTGAAAGTTTATCCTAAAATTTCTCATATACCTGGCATTCCACACACGCTACGTTATAAGTAGTACAGTCTCTATCTTTTCTATATAATTTATTGCATTGTCAATCGCCACGATTCTTGTATGTTTGATAAGCTTCGGGGGTTCATATGCACAACAGACTTTTGAAAATGCTCATACATGCTCAGTTAAAACATGAGAGCATGTTAGCTATGACATAATTCGGGCTGGGGAGCTGACATCGTAGATGTGACATTTTGCTGAAGCCCCCAGAAATTTTAGTGGCTACAGCTCCAAACCATCTAATCATTTTTTAACATTTATAATGTCATACAGATAATAAAATGTATTCTTTTCAGCACATAAATTTCAATTCATAATACTAATTTAAAATCTCAAGCTGAATTTATATATTTGGAACTTTAATTTTAAAATTTGACACCTTAATATCACAGTTTTGAGTCCGCTTCCATGGAAGTACATTTGGACAGAAATTTTATGATGTGGTCGCACTTAAAAATCCCGATGGGCATGAAGTGAAGCGCTGGATCCGGAGCCGCTGTGATTATGAACCAGCTCCTTAGCTCGGAGACTTCTTCAGGAATGACCATGGGAGAGAGGATTTCTGTACACTTTGCTGTCCTTCGCACACCTGCTTTTCTATATCCAGAACACTAATTAACAGTATTGGGATGAAGACACTGGTCATCCTGATCTCAAGTCGGGTCAATCACTGGGTTAAATCTCAATGGTGATTAGCTGAGTCTGGCTCGTTTTATTTTGATGAATAGACTCTAGTCTCCCCAACATTGATTAAAAATGCTAAAACCATTAGCATGAATAAGTGAATAGTCACAAGAGAGAATAAGTCAAATTTATGATAGGCCTCTTCTCACCCCCAGAAATATTAATAAAATTCTATTCATAATTAACATATTTTCAAGTTTTGTCGTCCATTTCTTCAGGGACAGACTGAGTTTCAACTTTAAGTCGTTTAGGAGTGATGTAGTTTCCCATTCCTGCAGCTCTTTCTGCTTCTTCCTGAGTGTATGGCTCTGTTGCCAACTGTTTCAATCTCCTTTTATGGACTTTAGTTTTAAAATGACTTTTCAGTGCAGTGATGTCGATGAAGTGTCTCCTGTAGCAAAACGTCCAGTGTTAGGACATATTTATTCTGAGGGAAAGAAATCTATTAGATGGCTTATTCACGTGACGAAACACTGCATTTCTGCATGAACAATCAATAGTATACGATCAAGATCGATCATGGTACATCATTTATCAGAATATAACTTATATATCAGAATTTTTCCACTTTCTAATATACAAAATCAGGTCAGTGAATTCAAACATGATTTTTACTCAGTATTGATATGCAAAACCAGCTAATGAGAAATATAAATTGGCTATTTGAAAATATGATTTAAGAGAAATCTAGTTACGAGAATATGAAATTGCAGGCTACACTAGGAATTTATTTCTTGTTTGAGTTTAAAATCTATAATTCTGCTATTGCAGTTGTGGCTTATGCCCACTTTCCCAATGTTTTTGTCCTTTAATGTTTTTTTGGTGAAAAGTTAGAATACTATACAAATTATATTCTGGTCCTGATATATATATAATACAATTACACCCACTACAGCCATTGGCACAACTTATAACCGGAAAGTTCCAAACTTCCATCTAAAACTAATCCAAGAAATAGGCTAATCCTAAACACAGAGACAACCAAAATATTACACAAATATAGGCATATTCTGCCAATAAGGGTCGGTCAGCATAAGCATCAAAATACTATGTAATAAACTTACGCGCAATGGAGGCAATAATTCTGTCCCTCCCCCGGTAAATCAGTATCAATCGGTTGATTTAACAATTTATTTTTATTTCCTGGTTTCATATCTTCATGGATCTGGTCGACATCCTTGGTTCTTCTTTTAGTTTTTAATCGTTTTCCGTAATTCTTATGACTGTCACTAGATTTTTTCCCAGATCCCTTAGATTTCCCGGCATTGCCCATTTTCAAATACAATATCTGATGTTATATATATTATATATATAATAGCTGAAAATTAATCAATTCACTGATTTATGCTCAGTTTTCTCGACAGCGATGTTTTCTCGCGTGGTGGTTATCTTATGTGACTGACAGGTGCATTGATCCGTCACGTTTTTCCATCAAAAAAAATGAAATTGAAGAAATATATAAAAAAAAAGTGTTATCGTTATGCGTTATTATGCCACATAATTTCGAATAGTTTTATATGTATGGGATTAAGCTGTGAAAATTGTAATTTTGATAGCATTTTTTGTTTGGCGCTTGTGACTAGCGAAATCAAGGATTTGCAAATTGTCATAGTAATATAGTAATAACTATAATATTCGTAATTAATTATCATTTATATGTTTTATTTATGTATATGTTACTACAATATTGCTTTATTTTATGAAAACCCAATTAAAATAAAATAAAGTGACGAAATAACAGTGACCTTGCCTGCGGCTCGTTTGATTATGGTTCGATCGTGTTGTGTTTACTCTGGGTTGTTTGCGAGCGGGTCGACGCTGTCGCTTGAGATAGCGTGCAATTAATGGATAATTTTTATTTAGTCACCCCCTAAAGGGCTTCGCGTCTCACAACAAAGTTTGGTATTGGAGATTATAGAGCAGCACCGTCAGTGTTAAATTAATATCGGCGATCGTACCGTATACTGTTATAAGAATTACAGAATTGAAAAACAGAAAAATGATAGTTCACAGCAAATTTGTTGTTGGCGAATTCGTGCCTCGAGTTTTGGGTCCTTTCGACGCTGTTGATTATACGTGTTACGAAGCTGGCCATACTTGGGATAGTTCCTGCGTTTCGACATGGATTGGGATTTTTCGTGGTGGTATGATCTATTCACTGAAACTTTATACAACTTTTTACCTTCTGGGAGCTGTATGGAAACTTATGAGTAAGGAAACAGACAAGAAAAAGCTTGCAAAAAACATCTTTCTGAGTATACTACGTTCGTCAGTTTTCCTTGCATCGAATGCAGCAAGTTTTATATTTTTCATCTGTGCATACAGGAAAATGTTTGGAAAGTTTCATGGAGTATTTGCAGCTATTGCAGGATTTGCTTCATCATTTTTCAGCTTAATGCTAGAAAAGAAGTCCAGGAGAGGATTGCTTGCTATTTATGTAATGAACCATGCAATTGAATCTGTGTTCAATATGGCAGTTTCAAGGGGCTATGTAACCCAATCAAAAATGGACAAATGTATTTATTTGCATTAACAAACCTCGCTTATATGAGTTTATTCAGAGGTTCAAGCTTGCCCCCATACATCCAGAACTTGTTTGAAAAAGTATTAGGCAGTGAGGAATCAAAGATACCTAGAGCTGCAGTAAACCAACCGCAGAATCAAGTTGTAAATCCTCAAAGTCAGATGCAACAAAGTTTAATGAAAGCTTATAAATATCTGATAAATTTGTTGAACGCTGTTGGCCCTCGTGTCCCAGCTTGCCAGCATCAAGATAGTTGTTCAGCCTATATGGCAAAAAGTGCAATTAAGTATTTTTCCATTGGATATGTACTTCAAGTTTTACTGAATTATCGTAATATCTTTAGAGCTTTAGTGCAGAGAAAGGCATCACTTTTGGTAAAAAGCCTTTCGAATTTTCAATTGGCTAAATTTATGTGTGCGTATGTCTCTCTGTTCAGAATTTTAAATTGCTTGTTAAGATCGCTCTTTGGGAGAGACCACCCAGAAATATTTGGAGGAATTGCAGGATTTTTTGCCGGGTTAAGCTCAAAGTTTTTCCCAAATATTTCCATCACCATGTATGCATTTGCAAAGCTTCTTGATATATTTTGTATGAAGGCTGTTGCTCATAACTGGCTTCCATATTTCCCTAATTTTGACATACTTGTGTATAGTTTAAGTCTGGGTGTCCTTTTTCACGATGCTCTGTTTGAGCCCCAGAATATTAGACCGTCATATTGGTCCTTTTTAAAAGGTCTCAGTGGCAACCATTTCCCATTGATATTCAGGAAATTACTCGATCAATATGGCACAGAAGCTTCGAAATTTTATCCCAATTTTGTGCCAAATTTGGACCCAAAAAATGTAAAAACGGCTGAGGTGAAAGAAATATTATTACTTCACGGGAAATGGCCATAAATATCAAGAAATGACACAATTGCAAAATGATTTATTTAATTAAGCACTGCATAGTTTTGAAATAAAAACCATTGCGCATTGATTACTAATTCTATACTAAAAATAGTTTATGGGCACCTTAATCAAGTATTATTAAAAAACAGTGCTTCACAACTTTTCAAAATACATTCCAGTCTTCACCTATTTTCCAACCCTATATTCACTATGCATTAAAATTATGTCTTATTTGTTGTTCAACTTGATCATTGGCTGGTAATATGCACAACTCGGACTCTGGCTTTTGTAAGGTTTGAATAGCTGTAATGTGTGTATAAATATGTCTTACAACAAAAGAGCTATGCTCAAATATATGGACACGTAGCTCCACGTCATAGCGAAAAAAAAAAGTAATAGCCTTCTGAAGAAAAATTTTATCTTTAACCACTGAAAATAGCAATTGGTCCAGTATTCGAAGAGAAAAGCGATTTTTTAAAAATGGAGACTGAGACAAATAACAATAACAACAAAATTTTGAAACGATCGTTATGGCCACTAAACGTGTCCAATAATACCAATTGGTTGAAATATATTGAAATACAAGCAATTACAAAGTGAAATATGCCCCACAAAAAAAAATCCTCCCTGATTATTACTTTGTGTGATTGTTTAAGTATATCCCTGACTCCAATGTGACCAAAGTTTATTATTGTATCCCAGTGTAGCGTATTATCAAAGGTGGCCAAATTCTTTTGTTGTTTTTCGGATTGGCAGCAGACCATCTAGCACTGACATGGGTAAATTACGGCCCATTTGGTAATTCAATCTGATCTGCCACAACCAAACTAAAACAAAATTTCGATGTTTCAGCTAAAAAATAGCTCAAGTAATTTGTTGAGATTGTGATCGAATTTAATTTTGGCGCAAGGCTTATTGTATTCCACTTTTGCTTTGTAACGCTGTAAATATTGTTCATAAAAATTTAACTTTTTATGTCACACTCGCTTGTCCCGCCAGTCTAGGTGGGTAAAATTTTTGGCCCCTGGTCTCCCCCACCCGCGATATAGCTCATATTTCAGTCTTCTTCAATAAAGTGTGTGAAATGTAATAGTTAACCTGTTTAATGTTCATCGGCAATTGATTGTGAACAATGCATCCCCACATGATCATATAGTTTCAAAACCTCTTGGCATTTCAGTGATTGCCTCCAACTTTAAACGACAAATACTCAATAAATCTCTCTCATATTTACTGTAGAACTCAATAAATTTTGGGCTTTTCCAAGCTTTTAGAATTGAATTTGATCCCGAGTCCTCACATATGTTTTTGAAATTATTTTTCAGAATATTTGTGCGTTCAAATGATACCTATACCAATTGTTTTCCTAGTTTCTGGTCATTTTATGCAATTCATATTGATTTTTTTCAGTATATTCATATGCTATTTGAGTATGGTAGTAGTATGGTACTACATATATGCTTGTGTCCATAAAGGTTAGATTAATATATGCTTCATAGTTTATACTATAGTGTCATGTCTGCCTCCTTATTTCACCTACCATTGCAATTTAAGTCATTCCTAGGACAATTTGTACAAATTGAGTATTTTTCTCTAAATTGAATTTTTGAAAGAAGTAATTTCCATTAGGGTTTTGAAATGCAGCCGCAAACCCCCTGCTATAGGAGGCCTAATAGCTTAATGTCTTTGTCTTATTAATTTTCCACCCTTACTTGTGAGTGAGTTATTGTGGCCTTGTTTGAAGAAATTCACATAAAAAAGTAGTTTCATATTTGATGAAATCAGTTTTGGGATCAACTGAAGAATCCCCCCCCCCAGACGTGGAGATTCTTCAGTTGGACTCACCTGGGGGTTTGTTGGTGGGGAGGATTCTTCAGTTGACCCCGTTTCCCAACTTAAGAATATCCCCTGACCCTGACCCACCTAAGCCGGTAATACCAGTTGATCCTTCATTTGACCTGGGTTAGATGGGGGGAAGATTCTACAGTTGGTCCTAATTGTGGGGGAGATTCTTCAGTTGATCCCAGTTTTATTTAATATTGCCTGCAATTTCATCTTGGCATCAATTCAGAGCATAACATAGTATAACATTTCAAATTTGGATTTGCATGTTCACTAAACCAAATAACTGGTTAAATAATCCAATACTCGACATGGACTGGTAACCGGACGAGAGGCTATGGTTTGCCATATGGTTAAGCCGTCTTATTGGCTTTCTTCTCCCCTGGGATAAATATGTAAATCCTAGCCTATCCTACAATGTAGTTTTTAGATAGACCTGATATTTTTTTTAAACCTGATCTGTAAACTAGTATTGCCTCATTCTTAAATCAAGCCTACAATATTGTGATTACTTTATTAGCATTGTGTTTCATTTTGTGTCCTATTCCAGTGTTCGTCATTTTGAATTAATTTTTACTGCATCCATGCATTTGAAACGTTACATTGTATTCTTATTTATTTTCCTGACAGTGAAATGATATAAAATCTTCACTAAAGTTATCTTTACTCAAGCCATGCCTGCGAAAACAAATAACTGGCTAACTAATCTGATATATTTGGTAACCGAGCGAGACGCTGTGGTTCGCCACATGATTAAGTCGATTCATAGTTTTCCTCTCCCCGGAGATAAATATGTAAATCCTAAATTATTCGACAAAAAAATTTTTGTGTAAAACCAGTAATATTTTACATAAAAATCGTAATTTTGGCGTTCCGATTTAAAGCATATTGGAAATGTTTTTAAGCTAGGTTCTTTTGACATCCCTGATATATTATTGTTTTTAAATAAATAATTTTAGTATCTAATAAATCTATTTGAATGGTTTGAAATAGGGCTGGGCATTTTGAATTGAATAGTACCGTGTATCATTCGAATGTCAGATTGATAGATTACGTCTTTTCACTAATTTAGGGTCTGGAGGACCCAATACAATAAAACAGTCAATACATACCTCCCAAGTATTCGAGATTCGTTCA